TGCCATCTGTCTATATTCATCCCAGGGAAGCACCCAGGATCAGCCCTTTGTCCTGACCAACCTTTCAGGATGTAACAAATAAATCCAGGACATACCAAACCTGGGCAGTAGCCGCGGGTGAACCAAAAACAGACAAACGAGTGAAACTGTTCTGGCCACCGTACCCACCTAGGGCTCGAGGACCTCTCCAGGCCCTAGCCCAACCAAGATCTCCAAGCCCCAGAGGAAACTATTATCCACCCTGATCTTTACCTCCCCCACCGTGTCTCCTCATATCTTCCCACACACTACTTACCTGACCACTCTCCAGTCCGAGGACCCCCACAGCCTGCCTGGCACCCTCCCCCCCCCCCTTCCCCAAACCAGACCGGCAAACCTCTGTGTCCTCCGAGGCTTCCACTCTTCTCTCTCTCTCCTTTCTCACGAGGGCACAAGGCCACGCCGGTGAAGCTCCCACTCTCCTTTCCTGCTGGGGGGGAGGGGACGGGGGGTGGCCCCGCGCGGGACCAGGGGCGGCCCCGGGCTGCGCGGGAACCGAGGGGCGGCCCCGCGGCCGCACGAGAACCGCGCGGGAACCGAGGGGCGGCCGCGCGGGAACCGCGCAGGAACCGAGGGGCGGCCCCGCGGCCAGCAACTCACATGAATTAAAACCGAAAGGTTTGTACTCACCAAATACTTTAGAATTCATTGCAAACATACAATTCATTCCACACACTTACAGAAAGTGACTTTTGTAGCCCAAGTGTTCCCGAGTGGAATTTTTTTCCTACAGACAAACTGAATACACATTAATACACACTCACTAAATGTTTGTATTTCCTCAGCATTAACACAAAATTTAAGGTTTAATAAGCCCAGAGCATCTGGGCAAACCTCTTGCACAAGGAGGCAACAGCACCTTGTCCGACTGACACTGGGTAACTTCAGAACCTACAGATGCACCCCCTGTTAACCAGTTGTACAGTTTCACCACCAGGTGGGACTTGAATCCACTTGGAAATTGTCAGACTGCAACTCACTTCATAACAATCCCCAGCCAAAATGACATTTAATAGAAAATAATCAATTGTATTTTCAATTCAATAACCCAATTACATTACAGAGCTCAAGTTTTGTGCAGTTGTAATTAGGTTTACCTTCTCTGTACTATCAGTTTTCATGGCTAGGCTTCGCAAACAAAGATTTGGGGAAGGCTCTATCCACATTTGTTACAAGCACGCTGGTGGCTAATAAGGTCAATACCAAACAGACATATCTGATTGCAAAAGGCACAACAGAAAGACTCCTTAAGTGGTATATTCTGCAAGGCACAGTTCTTTCTGCATTGTCTTTTCTCCTCGAGAGTGATCCTGTGTGCGATCTCAAAGGAAGCAGCAGCGTTATAGATGGTGTGCCTCCAGACCTCCCGATTGGAGGCCAGAGTAGACCAGTTCTGTTGATCAATATGGCCAAGGCTGAGATGTTGTTTCAGGCAGTCCTTGTATCTCCTCTTCGGGGCTCCTCTCTCGCGGCAGCCGGTGGCAAGTTCACCATAAAGCAGGACCTTCGGGAGGCAGTGGTTGGTCCTTCATCCTGGAGACGTGCCCTGCCCAGCACAGCTGTGTTCTCAGCAACATGGCCTCAATGCTTGTGCCTGCTGCCTGTTCTAGAACAGACGTATTGGTCACATCATCTGACCAGGGGATGTTTAGGATTGTACGGAGGCAGCGTTGATGCCTGAATAAACTCCCAGGGATTTTCTTTGCCTTGAACTCAGTGGATTAAGACATCAGAGGTTCTCCCCAAAAGTAGCACCTCTCAATCTGATAAATCTATGGAGCTTCAAAAGCTTTTTTCCTGCCAGGGGTTGCCCAAAATTGTTGCCAAATACCTCCAAAATGGTCAGGACAACAGAACCCTCTAACACTGCATTTTTAGTGTTAGAAAGCAAAGCATTACTTTATTCATGGCACTAGGTGTTTGTGAGGTTGACAAAACTTCTGCCTTCCACATAAACTCCAGTACAACCCTTTTTCACCTATTTATGCATTTTTAACAAAGAAAGAAATTATTGTTCATTGGTTCTAAATTACATAATTTCCTTTCATTAATTAGTATTCTGTCCACTACTGGTTATTAATTTCTTGGTTTGTGTGGTAATTAGTCCTAATCTTTAATCTTTTTAGCATCTTTTTCCTCCAGTAGGGATTTTCTGGCACAAATACTGAGTTTTAGTTAGTCTTCTTCGTTATTTGCTGGTTTCTGCAAAAATGTCCTTGTGATCCATAAATCCTGCGTTTCAGATGTCCAATTTCAACAATATGTCTTTCTGTCCTCGGTGTTGATCACTGAGGCATATCAAGGTTAATTTTAACAGAATTTACAGTTTTAGTACTTTTCCCAAGCTGTGTTTTCACAAAAGTAGTTGATGACATCTTTTTGCTATATGCTGACTAAAAGTGATTTAAGGCCTAACATAGCTAAACAACTAATTAAAAGGTTAATTAGGACCATTAAAAATTAGAAAAGTTATATCGTTTCCAACAGGGACAAGCAAGGTAAAGGTGGCTCTGATGCTGAGTAATCCTAGATGAATTTCCTTAATCCAAATGGCCCTTTGGATCTGGTTTATGACCACATTAACCCAAGAGCCAAGCCCTGACCCCCAGCCCCTGGAAGGCAGATCCTGTCCCTGCCTCATTCCTCAGGGCTCTTCCTGGGGCACTGGGATGTGGGATGTGCAATGCCAAGGGTAGGCTGATGGGGTGGCACCTGCCAGGCAGCTGAGCAGGGACAAGGAGGCCATGAAGCCCCAAGGCTGCAAGGACCACTTGTCTCCTCCTGGCATCAGGGGCACAGACAGCAGCCATGGCCAAAGGTCTGCAGAAGGTGGCTCTGTCAGGGCCTTTCAGCTTCTCCCCCTCCCTGTCTCCTCTCCAGCCCAGGCTGTCCTACAGTGTCCATGCCCTGCCCCTTTCCCTGCAGGCTGTCGTCATCCCCCCAGCTGCCCCACCTGGTTGGCACCTTCCTGCACTGACATCTCTGCGTCCTCCCTGGCTCTTCCTGGACACACAAAGCCTTGGGCTGATCCAGACTCCTTCTGGGTGATGTGTTGCATCACAGCACTGCCCTGGGAGTGAAATTCCTTTTTCCTCATGTCCAGTCTGGGCCTCACCAGCTGCCCTTGGTGGCATTGTTTCTTTCTCATCCTCATTTCCACTAAGAAGGAAAACTCACCATCTCTGAATCTGCCCTTCAAGCCCTCTCAGGCTACTCCTGCACTGTCTTCAATTCTCCACATCGAGCCAGTACCCTCAGCCTCCATGTATTTGTCCTGTGCCCGAGGCTTCCAAACCCCACTTGAGAGATTTCCAGGTCCTCTCCAAGGTTTTTGCAGATGGAAACATTGTGTGCTTAGTCCAGGAAGGATGGAGTGAAATTTTTTTCCCAAGTCTTGTACTCACAGAGCAAATGAGTACAAGGCAATGGCTTTAAAATGAATGAGGGTAGACTTCGACTGGATATGAGGAGGAAATGACTTATGATGAGAGTGGCACAAAACCGTAACTGTTTTCCCAGATAAGTGGTTTCCCCCTGCCTGGAAGTGTCCAAGGTTAGGAGCTTTGTGCAACCTGAAATTTTAAAAGTTGTCCCTGCCCATGGTAGGGGTGATGCGTGAGCTGCTCTTTTAGGTCCTTTCCAAAACAGACCATTACATGATTCTTTGATTCCAATACCCACAACTCCTTTCCACAGCTCTCCAAATACCTACATAAACCATGCTGGCATTTTAATCCTAATTCCCAAATTTCCATAAAAAGAGAAAGAATTCGCATTTCTAGGACCTGAATTGCCATGCTTTTGGAAGCATGGAACTCCTCCGTGGGGGAGTACCTGGGTGTTCCCATGTGAACCTGAGCATGCATTATTGACACATTGAACTCTTTGTTTCATGGGCCCCCAACACCAAAGGATCAAGACCTCAAGTATCCCTTTGACCACAGAAATTGAAACAATCAGGTCTCATTGCTGGATCCATGGGGGGTGAGATCTTTCTTCTCCACTACCTACCCTTGTCCTTTCCTTCTTTTTCCTTCCTATGTATTTTCTGAAGTGATATATTTATAGTTTTATAGAGAATAACCCAAGTAGCTACATACCTCCTTTCCACTGCAATTGACCACCTCTCTGGCTGCTCCATCCAGCCAATTTCTCACCCAGTTTAAAAGGCAGAGGTTTCTTGAGAGGGATGTTTTTTATCTCAGCTCCAGCAAGACTTTCGGTCTGGTCTCCCTCAGTGTTCTTTTACCCAAGAGAGGCCATCACAGCCTGGGTGGGCAGACAAAGAGCTGGGCAGAAAAGGCAGCTGGATGATGATGCTGAGAGAGCAGAGGTGAAGGGGTCGCACCCTCCCTGGTGTCCACTGGGACATACTGGGGCATTGTGGGGCAGCACAGGGGACTCTGCTGAGACCTGGGCAGTTCAGCACCTCTATCATGGCTCAGAGGACACAACTCTCACCATGTTTGTTCATGGCATTAAACTGGGATGCCATTCAGGGCACACCTGACAGGTAGGTGGACTGTCCAGTCAGGAAGTTCATAGGACAATTCAGGAGGGAAGGGAGCTCAGTGCTCTGCAGTCCAATGTCCAGCTCCACGCAGGGCCAGCTCTGAGCTCACACCATGTGGCTCAGTAAATGTCAGCATCCACAGAGAGATTTTACACACAAACCAGGCCTCTACCTCCCCCCTCAAAAGTAAAAGAGATGAGGACTTTGACCAGCTCCTTGAAAACAAGCCTTGTTTTGCCCTACCTCCTGAAATTCCTGGGAATATCTACCTTGTCCAGAGGATGGGGTTCCTCCTGCAGGGCTGCTAGCACATGTCCAGGCCATGGGGTGCTTTGTGTTGTGCTTTAGGGATGGAACTGCCCATAGACTCTCCATATTATTGTTCCCATAGACTCTCCAAACCACATTGGAGAGGAGAATTGGAAGCACAAAAGGTGAAGATCACAGGTTGAGATAAGAACTGTTTACTGGAAACTGCAAGATGAGAAAAGGAACAGCAACAGCAACAATATTAATAACAGAGAGCACAAGAGAGGCGAGTGATACACACACAGAAGCACAGGAATCACTTCCCCAGTCAATGCTGTCCCTCCGAGGTGTCTGTTAAGTTCATTTAGTCCATGACTGTGGGTTCTATCCACCCTGGATGTCTCCCAGGGCAGGGTTGGGGTGCTGTGGGCTGGTTTCAAGCTGCATCAGGAGCTCACGACTGGTGTATCTGGAGCAGTCCATCCTCATTGTCCATGGGAGTTCTGGGATACAGTGGCAGTGTCATTCAGCAACCAGTATTATACAATTGAACATCGCAGACTGTTCTCACCCCAAACCAAATCCCCTTGAGGTACACACCATGTTTCCCTGTCCCTCTGCATCACCCAGCAAGTGCCCCCAGATCCTTGAGCAAAAACAATCCCACAGTTGAGTTTGCCTTTGTTTGAGGCAGGACTGATCCAAACTGTCTTCCCTCACATGTTCCTCACGTGCACCATGGGGACTTTATCCCCTCTGATGGTACAGGGAGGTTCTGATGGGCAGGGTCAGCTCAGTTGGTGGAGCCTCGGGTGTGAACTGACCAGGTAGCCTTGGCTAAATGGAGATCCCAATGTTTCAAGGTCCCACCACCCAATGCTTTCAAGGTGGTTTTGAATGGTGCATTGTTCTATTCAACTTTCCCAGTGGCTGGTGCATGATGGGGAATATGATACACCCACTCCATCCTGAGCTGTCTGGCCCAGGGGTCCATGAGGCTGTCCAGGGCTTGTTCCCACCATTGTAAACACAGGGTATGATGTGATCCATCTACCAGGCCTCCCCATATCTGTATTTCCACCATCGTCCCCCATCCCACAGAGACTTTACCTGCTTGTCCTTCTTGTTCTCAGCACGTTTCACAGTCATGAATAACCCAGGACATGGTGTCTATGGTTAAATCCACCCCTCCATCATGAGCCAATGTTCCATCTCTTCCTGATGACCTGAGGCGTCCTGGGCCCACTGAGCCAGAAATAATTCATTCTAGTGTTGCCAGTCCAGATCCACCCGAGACACTTTAATCTTAGCATCTCAATCCACGTGTTGTCCCTACAACATATCAGGAACCGTCAGTGAAGAGAGCGTGACGTTTTTCATTTTCTGGGAGCTGATAATATGGTGGGGCCTCCTCAGCATGTGGCTCCTCCTCTGATGATGATGATAGTCTGAAATTTTCACCTTCAGGCCAGTTTGTGACAACTTCCAAGATCCCTGAGTAACTGGGATTTCTGTGTGATCTTGCTGTGTGATCAGAGCCATCCACTGGCTCCACGTGGCATCATTGGCATGATGTGTGGAAGGGACTTTCCCTTTCAACATCCAGCCCAGCACTGGCAGTCGGGGTGCCAGGAAAAGCTGTGCTTCAGTGCCACTCACTTCTGAAGCAGCTCGAACCCCTTCAGAAGCTGCCAGGATCTCTTCTTCCAGAGGGGGTGTAACAGGTCTTGGATCCTTTGTATCCCAAAACTCCAGAATCCTAGGGATCATCCTCAAGTCTCCCAAGGTACTTTCTGCCAGAGGCTGGGGAAGGACCATTCTCCAGGGTCTCTGGAGCTGCTGGGGTTGGGGGCATTGATGTCCAGCTTGCCTCTCTCTCCTCCTCCTCCTCACCATTGTCCCCACTGCACAGGGTACATTTCCCACTGGAAAAACAGGGATTTGGGGGCAAAAAGCCATTTTTTTTAATGGGGAATGTCCCTGGGGGTCATGGTTGCACCAGGGTGAGGCTGCTCTAGGGCAGCTGCTCTCTTACCTTGGAGCTTTCCTCCTCCTCCTCCCACTCCCCCTCCTTGCCATCATCCTCCCTGTGTAGGGCACATTCCCCAGAGAAAAAACAGTGAGCTGGGGGCAGAAAATTGCTTTTCTGAGGGGGAGCCTCCCTGGGGGTCCTGGTCATGCCAGGACATCCTTCCTCCTTCTCCCCTCTCTCCATGTCCTCCTCCTCCTCACTGCCCAGGGCACATTCCCCAGAGGAAACCCAGTGATTTTGGGGCACAAAACTGTTTTTCTGAGGGGGATTCCCCCCAGGGATCCCAGTCATGTCAGGACAGCCTTCGTCCCTGACCACCCCCTCCTCCTCCTCTTTCTCCTCACTGCTCAGGGCACATTCCCCAGAGAGAACTGGGGGCAGAAAGCTGCTGTTCTGAGGGGGAACCTCTCTGGGGATCCCCGTTGTGCCTCTCTCCCTCTCCCTGTCCTCCTCCTCCTCATCCCCACCACTCAGGGCACCCCTGAGCTTGGCCCAGAAGAGAGGCCGGGCAAGAGGCTCGCTGGGCCAGCGCAGGTGGGTGCGGCGCAGCAGCACACGGCGCATGCGGTGGAAGGCTGAGAGCTCAGCCTCAGGGATGTCCTCGAGGAAGACGAGCACAAGGACATCACGCAGCTCGTCGAAGAGGCGGTAGCTGGCGAGCTGGATCTCCAGCGAGCACCACTCACTGCGCAAGTACCCGCGGCTCACCACGCACACCGTGCGCCGGCTGTTGTACACGGCATCCACGATGTTGTCCACAATGGCGCGGCCGGGGCGGAAGTCGCGGTGGTGGAGGCAGAGCCGCAGGGCCCCGTGCTCCAGCTCGGGCACCAGCTCCTCCAGCACCCAGCGCTCGTCCGCAGAGTTGTAGGACACGAAGGTGTCGTAGGCATAGCGGCGCCGCTCCCGCTGCCAGCGCCCACGCGCCCACGCCCGCAGCAGGTACAGGTGGTAGCGCAGCCGCCAGTACCCGCGGTGGTGCAGCAGCGGCAGCGCCAGCAGCAGCAGCACGGCCGGTGCTGTCCCTGCGAACAGGTATCGCCCCATGTCAAGGTAGCACACACGTGTGTCAAAGCTGTGCAGGTATGCTGGGGCCCCACCCGCCTCGCCACAGGTGTAGTTGTACAGGTAGACCACCTGCACAGGTCCCTGTGCCAGCCAGGCCGGCAGCCAGACGTTGGCACAGCTGCAGCTCAGCGGGCACTTGCGCAGGTCTAGGTAGCGCAGGGCGGGTAGGCGTGTGGTAAGCGCTGTGTCCAGCCCGCGCAGCTCGTTCTTGGCCAGGCGCAGTTCCTCCAGTTGCGTCAGATTGCCAAAGACCTCGGGGCCGAGCCCACGCAGCCCCGCGCTCTCCAGGTCCAGACTGCGCAGGCGGCTCATGTTCTTGAAGACGCCAGCAGGCAGGGCACCCATCCCACCACTGCCGTCGGCCAGCGTCAGGTACCGTAGCTGCGCCAGGTCGTCGAAGGCATCGGCAGGCACAGCCGAGAGCGCGTTCTGTGACAGGTACAGCGAGCGCAGGGCACCCAAGCCCTGGAAGAAGTGATGTGGGACCACGCGCAGCCCGTACGGCTGCTGCGCCTGCAGCTTCAGGTCATAGAGCCGGTGCAGGTGGCGGAAGGGTGGCGGCTGCCGCGGGCGCCGGCTCAGGTAGCGCAGCGCGTTGGCGCGCAGATCCAGCACGCCCAGCGTGGTCTGCACTGGCCGGAACGCTGCCTCGCTCACCTCCAGCAGCCGGTTGCGGTCCAGGTAGAGCCGGCACAGCTGGGGCAGCCCCTGGAGCGCGGCGGCCGCCAAGTGTCTCAGGTTGTTGCCACCCAGGTCAAGGGTCTGCAGGCGGTTGAGCCCCCTGAAGGCGCCGGGGAAGAGCACAGCCACGCGGTTGTTGCGCAGGTTGAGATCACGCAGCCGGTGCAGGTCGGCAAAGGAGCCAGGCAGGAGGTCGGTGAGCAGGTTGTTGTCGAGTCGCAGGTGCCGCAGGTCGTGGAGTCCCCACAGCGCCGCACGGTCCAGCCGCGCCAGCCCGTTCACATCCAACCGCAGCCGCCGCAGTGCCGGAGTGTTGGCGAAGGCACGGGGACCGACCACCAGGATGCGGTTGAAGCGCAGGGACACGTTGTGGAGCCGCCGCAGCACTGGGGCCCTGTGGCACGACGGCAGCCACCGCAGCAGGTTGTGCTCGGCCACCAGCTCACCCAGTGCCGCGCGCTGTGCCAGGCCCAGCAGCTGCTCCACGCAGCCCAAACTCTGCAGCCGGTTGCCAGATATGTCCAGGGCACCCAGTACCGGGCAGTCAGCCAGTGCATTGGCAGGCATCGCTGCCAGCCCTGTGTGCCGCAGTTGCAGCCGCCGCAGCCACGGCCCCACAAGGTGCTGGCACAGCTCGGTCAAGCCCCCCGCGCCCACCTGCAGGCCTGACACGTCCACGCAGCGCGGGGGTACCACCCTCAGCAGCCGTGCCACGTCCAGTGGGTTCCCAGCCAGGTGCAGCCGTGTCAGGTTGTGCAGGCGCAGCCGGACGAGGGGCGCTGGGTCCGAGATGTTGTTGTAGGACAGGTCGAGCACCCGCAGCCCCTCGGGCAGCACCTCTGGGGCCGCCCCTGACAGAGTCCCCAGGGAGTTGTTGCAGAGCAGCAGGACTCTCAGTGCAGGTGGCAGCCCCGGTGCCAGTGCTGACAGGGTGTTGCCACACAGGTCGAGCAGATCCAGGCGGGGAAGGTGCCCCACAGCCATGGCCACGGGGCCCAGGGCACTCAACCGGCCCCCCCGCAGCCGCAGTGTGGCCAGTACAGGCAGCGCCCGCAGGGCCCCCGGGGCCACAGCGAGCAGTGGGTTGTGGTCCAGCCGCAGCGTGCTCAGGTTGCCCAGCCCGGTGAAGACCCCCGTGGGCAGCACTGACAGGTGGTTGTGGGCCAGGTCCAGCTGGGCCAGTGCCAGCAGCCCCCGGAAAGCCCCCCGGGCTAGCAACTCCAGCCGGTTGTGGGTCAGGTCGAGGGTGCGGAGCCGCGGGAGGTGGGAAAAGGCATCAGGGGGCACCTGGTGCAGGGTGTTGACCGAGAGGTTGAGGGAGGTGGTGTTGGGGGGGAGGTCACCCACGGCAGCCCCCACGGTGGTCAGGAAGCGCTGGACGCAGCGGAACAGCCCTGGGTCCCACGGAGCCTGGATGCAGTTGCGGAAGCCGTAGGGAGAGACGCCCGTGGGCACTGTCATCAGTGTCACCAGTGTCACCAGCAGTGGGGCGTACATCCTGCCCTGTCCTGGGGGGATCCTGAGAGGCAGGAGAGAGGGAGAGAGAGGAGTGAGGGATGTCTTCAGCAACCCAGGGACCCCCTTTAAAGCCCAGGGACCTCCCTTGGGGCTCAGGGACTCTCCCACATACCAACCCCAGAGAATCCCCCTTACACTTTAGGGACCCCCCTCAGGGCTCAGGGCCTCTCCCACACACCACTCCAGGGACCCCCCCCCTCACAGACTCCAGGGAGCCCCCCCAGCACCCCAGGGACCCCTCATCCACACTCTAGGGACCCCCCTCTCCCCCAGTCCCCAGGGATTTTGGGGGCCCCCATCTCCCCCCCAGCGGGATCCCACCGTGCTGCCGCCTCAGCCTCAAGCGATTTTGGGGCAGAAAAGGGAAGTTTTAGGTATTGTTTTGTGTCACTGCTTCCCTCTCCCCCACCCCCCCCCGTGACGTGACTGGAGGCAGCCCCTGCCCAGATGGATTTGGGTGTCTCCAAAGAGGCTGGGGGGAAGCACAGCTGGGTCACCCCCCTCCTGGTGAGCCCCCTGGGACCCACAGTCCCGTGCCCTTCTCCCCCCCTTAATTCCTGCTCCCCCCGCCTGCTCTTGGTTCCTCTTCCCCCACCCCCCCCAAACCGACCCACCTGGTTTTGGTTCCTCAGGGGAAGTACTGAGTTATACCGGTCTCCAGTGGGCTGTACTGGGTTGTACTAGTGAATTTGGGTAGCTGGGGGGTCTATGGAGGGGCTCAGAGGGGCTGCAGGGACTGGTGTACATCAGGGTCTGTGGGCATATTGGGATCTGGAGGGTTATAGGGGGCTGGGGGGACCCTGGGGGGCTGCAGGGATTGGGGTGTGTCAGAGTCTGGGATACTGGGTTCTGGGGGGGTTATAAGGGTGCTGGGGGGCATTGGATGGGGGGTGTATTGCAGTCTGGGGGGCTTACGGAGGTCTAGGGGGGCTATTGGGGTCTGGGGTGTCTCTTAGGCTACAGACATTGGGGTGCATTGGGGTCTGGGGGTTCAAGGATCTAGAAATGCGGGGGGGCCCTGGGGTTTCAGTAGGGATCCCTGAGGTGTGTTTAGGGGTCCCTGGTCCCCACCCTGTGATGGGGATCCCAGAGGTGCAAGGGGGGGTTCCTGGGGTGCCAGGTGTGTCCCTGGGGTGCTTTTAGGGGTCCCTGAGGTTTGAGGGTCTTGTTTCCAAGCCTATGCCCCACCCCCTGAAGAACTGACCCTGCCCATAAAGTGAACCCCTAAGCCCCGCCCCCACAACCCCTCCCCCTACACAGCCCCCGCCACTATAAAAGGAACCCCTTAAACACTGAGACACTCCTGTCCCCGCACCCCCCTGCCGGTGTCCCCCATCCCAATCTCTCCAGAGCCCCCATGGTGGCACCTGCCCCCCCCAGATCCCCCCTCCCCAAGTGTTCCCCATCCCCATCTCCCCAGAGCCCTCCCCCTCCCACCCCCCATTTCTTTCCCTTTATCCGGCAGCACTTGGAGGGTCACAGACATTTATTGGGGTGTAGCAGACCTGGGGGGATTCCCAAAGTGGGGGGTCATGGACAGGGGTCTCCAATAATCTGAGGGGTGCTAGAGTCAAGAAGGGGACCCCACCCTGGGCTGGGACCCTGGGAGGGTTGGTTGGGATCCTGGGGTGGGGGTCCCATGGGGGGGCTGGGGAGGGGTCCCAGGGTGAGGGGTCTGTGCGGGGGATACCAAACAAGACTGGGGCATCAGGATTGGGGTGTCATGTCCCATGGGGACGACCCTTGGAGAGGGGGCTCTGGGCTGCAAGATCCCCTGGGGGTGGGTCCTGGGGGTATACTCAGGGGGATCCCAGTGTGGGAGGCCCCCATGGGGTGGGGCAGTGTCTCAGCACAATGGTCCCATAGGAGCCCCCAGTAAGATCAGGGGTGTGAAGCTCTCTCCCCCCCCAGGCCGGGGGCGCTGAGGGGTGGGTACCAGTGCAGGGTGGGGGTCCCCATTCAGATGCCCCCCCACTCGGGCCCTCGCAGGCGCCGAACCAGCTGCAGGTCCTTGGGGAACAGGGTGACCCTGCGGGCGTGCAGCGAGCACAGGTACGCATCTTCCAGCAGTCTCACGATGAAGGCCTCTGCTGCCTGCACCCCAAAAAAATCAGGGGGAGCCCCCAACCCCCCCCCGATTTCCCTCAGCCATCCCCAGGAGGCAGCAACCCCCAAAACCCCCAGACACCCTCTCCAAACCCACCCACAGGGGACTGGGGGAAATGAAACACCCTGTGGCCCTAAATGGGTGAGGGGTCCCCTTGTGCCCTGACAGCCCCCCCCAGCACCCATAGGTTCTAAACATCCATGGTCCCCTACCCCAGAACCCATAGAACTCCCTCAGCCCCCCTGACACCCCCTCACATCCATGGGGACCCTCTCAGACTCTCCCCCTCAGCTCCCATGAGACCCCCCTCACCAAACCTTTCAGCTCCCACAGGCCCCATCCAGCCCCCCTCAGCACCCAGAGACGTTCCTGGACCCCTCAGCCCCCAAGGACCCCCCAGTACCCATAGGACCCTCCCACCTTCATGGGAACCCCCTAGCACCCATGGGACCCCTTCAGACCCTCTGGGACCCCCCACCCAGTACCCCCAGGTCTCCCACAAGCCCCCAGAGGACCCCCCCCAGCCCCCCGGGCCCCCCCACCTCCTGCAGGGCCAGCAGGGCCAGGCGCTGCCAGCGATAATCGACCCCCCGGGTGAAAAGCAGGCACAGCTCCCGCACCTGGGACAGGGGGGGACACGGGGACAGCTCAGGGGACACAGGGACATAGGGGCAACGTAGGGACAGCAGGGGACACGGGGAGTGGGGGGACAGTGGGACAACATGAGGGGGATATGGGGACACCTTGGGCTGGGGCTACCACCCTGGGGACATCCTGGGACTCCCTGGTTGTCACCCTGGACACACTCTGGGGACACCCCAGGGACAGGGACGTTCTGGGGATATCTTGGGGATGCCCTGGGGAGTGAGGTCATGGGGACATCATGAGGGGGACACCCTGGGGATACCCCAGGCACAGGAACATGGGGACACCACCCTGAGGACATCCCAGGAGGGGGACTGGGGTACACAGTGACACTTTGGGGGGGTCCCAGTGTGGATCTGGGGGGTCTCAGAGGGAGTTTGAGTGGGTCCCAGGGCAGGTTGGAGGGTTCTAGGTTGGATTTGGGGGGACCCCAAGGGGAATTTGGGTTGGATTTGAAGGGATCCTGGGGATTGTTTGAGGGGTCCCGGGGGTTCTTGAGGAGGGCCCAGGGAGGATTTGGGGTGTCAGGAGATTTGAGGGTGGACTTAGGGGTCTCAGGGAGTGCTTGGGGAGTCCCAGGGTGGATTTGGGAGGTTCTGAGAGGGGCTGGAGGGTCCCAGCAAGGTCCCCGGGGAGTTTGGGGGGGTTCTGAGGGGGACTTGGGGTCGGTTTTTTGGGGTCTCACCAGGTGGGCAAAGGGGCCAGGCTGCAGCAGCAGGCAGGTGCCCATGGGTGGGTTTAGAGGTCCCAGGGTGTGTTTGGGGGTCAGTTTGGGGGTCCCAGGGTGGGTGTTGGGGTTTGGGGGGTTCCCAGGGGTTGCTTTTGGGTCTCACCAGCCGTGAGAAGGGCCAGGCCGCAGCAGCAGGCAGGTGCCCAGGGGTGGGTTTGGAGGTCCCAGGGTGTGTTTGGGGGTCAGTCTGGGGGTCCCAGGGCGGGTGTTGGGGTTTGGGAGGTTCCCAGGGGTTGGTTTGGGGTCTCACCAGCCGTGAGAAGGGCAGAGGCCGCAGCAGCAGGCGGGTGCTGCTCTGGTAGCGGCGGATTTCCTGCAGTGCCCGCTGGCCCGGGCGGAACCCTAGAGGGGGACAAAGGGAGGTATGGGGGCTATAGGGAATCTATAGGAGATCTATAGAGCCTGGGAGGCACAGGAGGGGTATAGGGGACTTCAGGGGATCTATAGGGCCTGGGGAGACACAGGAGGCTACAGGGAATCTATGGGGGGCTGCAGGGGTGAGAGGGACAGTGGGGAGCTATGGGGGAGTAAGGGGGCTATGAGGGGTATAAGGGATTTCTATAGGGCCTGGGTGGACATAGGGGTACGAGGGATCTATAGGGGGCTACAGGGGATGGCTGGTATGGGGGGGCTATAGGGGATCTATGGGGGGCTTTAGGGGACAGCAAGTATGGGGGGCTATAGGGGACAGGGTATAGGGGCTATAGGGAATTTATGGGGGTCTGTAGGAACAGGGGATATGGGGGCTATAGGAGGTCCATATGGGGGTATGGTGGGCTCTAGGGGGGTTTATAGGGGTGTCCATAGGGGTATCCCCCCACACTCACTCCGTACCCGCCGGCGCGGGGGGGGCGATGGCGGGGCTGGAGGGGGGCGACGCCGCCGGGGGGTGGGCTTGGGGCGGGGCATGGCGAGGCCGCACCCACCGCGGGCTCGGTGCGGGGTCCGGGAGTCAGGGAGACGCTGGAGAGGACCCGGGGGGACCGGGGAGGGAGGTCAGGGCAGGTCCAGGCAGCCGGTGAGACCCCCCCTCGCCCTTCCCGGGTGTGCTTCCCCCCTGTTCACCGCCGTGACGTCACTCCCGGACTCCCCCGGACCCGCCGCCGTTCAAACCTCCCGCCGCTCTGCGCCGCTCAACGTCACTTCCGTACGCACCGCCCCCGCCAATCGCGGCCCGCAACCGCTCCGCCCCGCCCGGAGGCCGCGACTCGATGGTGCAGCGGCGGCCGCGGAGTCGTTAGCATAAATCTACAGTGGCCACGCCCCGCGGCACCCAGCGCGGCGGAGATCCTACTATGGTCCCCATATGGTCTCGGTGTGATCCCTGTCACTCCCAGATTGATTCCAGTCATCCCCAATATGATCCTAGTGATTTCCAGTCACTCCCAGTGTGAGTCCAGTATGACCCCAGTCACTCCCAATACAATCCCAGTATGATTTCAGTCACTCCCAGTATGATCCCAGTCACACCCACAATGGTTCCAGTCAATTCCTATCCCTACCAGAATGTTACCGCTGTGATCCCAGTCACTCTCGGAATGATCCCAGTTTGATCCCAGTAACCCCAATATGATCCTAGTGACTTCCAGTCAGTCCCAGTGTGAGTCCAGTATGATCCCAGCTGATCCCAGTCACAATTACAATGGTCCCAGTCAATTCCTGTCACTACTAGAATGATCCCAATATGATCTCAGTCACTCCCAGTATAATCCCCATCAGTCCAAGTCAGTCCCAGTATGGTACCAGTTGCCCCCAGTGTGGTTCCAGACACTCCCAGTATGAACCCAGCATGGTTTCAGTTGCTCTCAGTATGATCCTAGTTGCTCCAGTTGTGGTCCCAGTACATCCAGTATGGTTCCAGTATCTTCCAGTTGATCCCAGTTGCTCCCAGTGTATCCCTTTTGGGCTCCCAGCATGGGCCCAGGAGCTCCCAGTGCCTGCCAGTGCCTGGCAGGAAAGGGACCATGGAAAGAGGTCTGAAGCAGTGCCTTTGGGACTGATCCCATGGAATGTGGACTTGGAGCAGTTCCTTCGGGACTGACCCTGTGGAATGTGGACCTGGAACAGTTCCTTCGGGACTGACCCCATGGAATGTGGACCTGGGCCTCCTCCTCCCCCCACAGCAGCAATTGCAGTTTTAACTGAAGTTAAAGCTGTTCAGTTTAACTGAACAGCTGAACTGTTCCTGGAGCTGCTATGGGATGGCTTTCCCTCCATCATCATCATCATCGCTGCGATGCCTGGGGCCCCTTGGGCATTAGGGGAGGGAATTTGGGGGCTGTTTGGGGGGCACTCAGGGACAACCCTGTCTCTAATGGGGCCGCATGACAGGAGTTGTAGTCCAGGAAGTGAAGTGACTCAGCCAAAGACACCACCCCAACCATGCATTCTTGGGTGCTGATTGGTTGGCGGTGTTGATGGGTGGGCGCAGCAGCCAATGGGAGGCGGCAGTCGCCAGTTATGGAGAGGTAGGTGGGGTGTAGGGGGGGGGGGGGGGGGGGGGACGTGGGGAGGGTGTTCTGTGGGCTCCGGGGGCAATTTGGGGCACCCCTCATTCACCCCTCCCCCAGGGGTGGGGGCGTTCCGGTGTCCCCCCACCCCATGTTGGCCGTGAAGGTGAAGGTGGAGGAGCCAGGTGAGGCCCTTCCCCCGATAAACCCCCAGGGCCCCCAAGCCCATCCTGGGCTCCCCAAAACACCCCACGGCCAGTTACAGCCCCCTGCTAATGCCCCAGGGACCCTCAAACCCCCTTCAGACCCTCCCCCAACACCCTCAGACTCGCTCCCCAAAAAACTCCTTCATGACCAGACTCCCAGAACCCCACCCCAAACACCCTCATAGGCCCCCCAGACCCCCAACAGCGCCCGAGCCAACACTCTTGGGGCATCTGGAGTGACCCCAAAGGTGGGGGAGGAGATTTTGGGGTCCGTGCAGCTGCAGCTTTGGGGTTTCATTGCTTTATTGCCCCCCCCCAGGTTGGGGGGGGTACCTGGTGGGCTCCAGGAGGGTCTCAACAGTCCTGGGGGGGAAAGGGGAGAGCAAAGGGGGTCAGGGGGATGTGGGGAAGGGGTAGGGGCAGGAGGATCCCCCCAAAATCGGGGGGGGCTGGGGGGGGCATACCAGAGCTGTTCCCGTAGGGCCCGGCGGTGGCACCGCAGCAGCCGCAGGACAGGGTCCTGGGGACAAACTGGGGGGGCCGGAGGTCATGGGGGGCCCACCCCACTGTACCCCCCCCACCCTGTAAGGGGTGCCCCAGCCCCACAATTGCCCCCCAGACCCATAAGTGACCCCCCAACCCCCCAAGTGCCTCTCAATCCACAAGTGCCTCCGCTCAGCCCCACAGTTCACCCACACAGCCCCACAAGTGCCCCCCTGGCCCTGTAACTGATCACTCTGAGCCCCACAATTGCCCCCCAGCCCCACAAGTGACCCCCCAGCCCCACAGTTCCCTCCCCAGCCCTACAAGTGAACCCTCAGCCCCACAATTACCCCTCTGGTCCCCCAAGTGCTCCCCCAGATCCCCCAATTCCTCCTCAGTCCCCCAATTCCCCTCACCCAGTGCCTGCCGTGAGGGTGCCCCCTGCTGGGCATCCTGGACGTCGCTCCTGATTGGCGGCAGAGCATCCTGAGGATCACGTGACACCCAACATGGCGCCCCCCACAGGGCTCCAGTGGCATCACGTGACCGCAGGTATGGTTCCCACTGCAAGGACTCCTGGGAGTCGGGCCGGGACGAGGTCGCCCCCTGGCGGTGGGAGGTGCAGAAGCGGCCCCTGATTGGGGTCTCGGAGGGCTCAGGTGACTCCCAGTGCGTCGCCCCGCCCACTGGGCACGTGTCCAGCGCAAGCTCCTCCCCACGGCGCCGCCTCAGACGCCACTGGATGAGGAGGTCGTCGGGGGCGGGGCCTACGGAGGCGGGGCCTGCGGGGGCGGAGCTGAGCGGAGGTTCCGCCCCCTCTGGCCCACGGGGGCGGGGCCTGAGCAGGACCTGGCTGGGGGGGGGAAGGGCAGGTTGGGACCCTTCAAATACCGACCCCCCCCATCGCCCTCCCCGCGAGGGGTTTGGGGACCCCGGGGGCATTTGAGGGGTTGTGAGGTCGGGGGGAAGTACTTGGGGTCGGGGGGGGGCAGTTGGGCGTCCCCAAGGGGCTCTTGGGAGGGCAGAGCAGGGAACTGAGGGGGATCCTGGGAGGTCCGGGAGTCGCTTGGCGGCTGCGCCGCTCCCCCACCTCCTTCGCACCAGTCGCTCCGCTCGCTGCTCCAGGCCGAGTCCCTGGGGGGAAGCCGTGGAGGGTGACGCGGGAACCCCCAAAATTCCCCCCTGGACCCCCCAAAATCCCCCCCGGTCCCCGGGGTCCCCTCAGCCCTCACCCGCTCCATGGCCCGCGCTCCGCCAGGCCCCTCCCCAACGGCCCCTTCTCGGGCGCTGATTGGTTGCAAGAGATGACGGGCGGGCGCTGCGGGCAATGGGAGGCCGGAGAAGGGAAAGGGGGGGAGGCGGGAGAGGTTTGGGGGGTCCCTGAGGGGGTTTGGGGCTCCCAGAGAGGATTTAGGGGGCTCCCGAGGGGCTTTGAGGCTCCCAGAGAGTATCTGGGGGGCTCCTGAGGGCATTTGGGGCTCCCAGAGAGGATTTGGGGGGGTCCCTAAGCGGCTTTGGGACTCCCAGAGAGGATTTGGGGGTCTCCTGAGGGCGTTTGGGGCTCCCACAGAGGATTTGGGGGTCCCTGAGCGGCTTTGGGGCTCCCACTGAGGATTTGTGCCTCTCAACCTCCCCCAGTCCCCAACAGGGACCCCCCAAATCTCCTCTAGAAACCCCAAACCCTCCCAAGGACCCCCAAAACCTCCGTGCCCGGTTCCCCTTGGACCCCCAGACCCCTCCAGGGGAACCGTAAAACTCTCCCAGAGACTCCAGGGACCTTGTGGGTTTGGGGTTCCCGGAGAAGATTTGGGGGGTCCAGGGGGCCTAGGGGTTCCTCGGGGTCTCTGGGGGGTCTCTGGGTGGTTTGGGTTTCCCTGACTGGTTTTGGGGGTCTCTGTGTGGCTTTGGGGTTTCTGGAGGGGTTTGAGGGGTCCAGAGGGTGAGGGCTTCCGGGGGGAATTTGGGGGGTCCCCGAGTGGTTTTTGGGGTCCCAGTGGGGTTCGGGGATTCCCCATTTTTCCGTCTCCATTTTAAGGAGAAACACTTTTAATTGCCTGATTTCCCTCCCGGCTCCAGATGGTTTTTCTCAGTCCTGCCCAGGGTTTGGGCCAGAATTTCCCGTTCCCTGGAAATCCCCGCTGGGACTCGGGTCGTTCATTTTGGGTAAAAAACAACCATATTTGGGTCCGTCCCTCCCCCCGGGGTCACAGGGGCAGAGGACTCTGGGGGGGCAGCGATTCTGGGAATTCGGGGGGTCTGTGAGGATCCCTGGAGGTCTCAAGACATCCCTGGGGGTCCCACACCTGTCCCAACATCCCTGAGGGTCCCACACCTGTCGTGACATCCCTGGGAGTCCTACTCCCCTCTCGACATCTCCTCAGTGACAGGATCCAGCTGCCACTTCCCAAATTCTCTGGAACTCCGGGGTCAATCCCCCTTGGCTCCCCCCATTCACGAAATTCTGCCGAATCAGCCAAAATCTGCAGGTTTTGGCCCAAACCCCCAGGTTTTGGCCCAAATCCGCCTCTGGAAGCGGCTCCAGTTGAGACCCGTTTGGGTATAAAAGATGGATTTGGGGCCAAACGCTGTGTCCATAGGATCCCGGGAATTCGGGAGCTCAGGGGCCGGTGAGTGCCTTTATTCTCTGCTTTTCCCTCTTTTTCCTCATTTTTGGGGATGTGCAGAAATTTCTGCCCATATTTCAGAGCTTTTCCTTTTTTTCCCCTCAGTTTAGTGACTTTTGCCCCTTCGTCCCCCAGAAGTTTCATATTTTTAACCCCTTTTTCATCCCAAATTTTGAATTTTTTAACACTTTCTGTGCCCAAATTTTGGGGGGTTTTGCCCATTTTTCCTCCCCAAATCTAATTTTTCCCCCTTTTTGTGTCCAAAATTCAGATTTTCACACTTTCACCCCAGTTTTATATTTTTGCCCTTTTTGTGTTCAAATTGGGCATTTTTCACCCTTTTTGTGCACCAAATCAGGATTTTTTGTCCACTTTTTCCTGAAGTTCAGATTTTTTGCCCTCTTAGTGCCCAAAATTGGGATTCTTTGAGCTTTTTGAGCCCAAATTAAGGATTTGGGGGGGGTGGAGGGGTGGGACAAGGTGGGGAGAGGGTTGTCCTGGCTGTTGAACCCCATTTTTGGGGTTCAAATTTGGGAGATTTGGGGCAAAACCCCCACCATTTTGACCTGAACTTTTGGGATTTTGAACAAAATGCATAATTTTCGGGAGGTTTTGGGGTAAATTTGGTGGAAATAGGGACTCTGAGGTGGCATCGAGGGGAGGTTGAGTGGTGGGAGGCTTGTCCTGGCTTTTTAACCCCATTTTGCCACAGTTTTGGAGGGCTGTGGGGGCAAAATTCATCATTTTTGGGAGGCTTTGGGGTGGATTTTGTGGAAATGGGGACTCTGAGGTGGCCTCAAGGGGTAAAATTGGTGGTGGTGGGTGTGGATGGTTATCCCAGCTCCATTTTGACCCAATTTTGAGGGGTTTGGGGAAAAAAAAACCCAACATTTTGCCCCAAATGTGGGGGATTTTGGTTAAAACCCCCATTTTGACCCAATTTTTTTGAACAAAATTCATGGATTTTGGAGCTTTTGGGGTGGATTTGATGGCAACAGGGGCCAAAATAAGCCCCAACAGGTTTCCATGGGGTAAAAAAAAGCCATTTTGGGGTAAATTGGGGGTTGTTTGGGTGTTCTGGTGACCCCTCTGGGCTCACATGGATTTTCCCCTCAAAACAGGGATTTCAGGTAATTTTTGGTGATTTTGGGTGTTTTTTACAGCAATGGCTTGGCGTGGGACCTGGTGGCTCCTCCTTTCCTTCTGTGGTGAGAAAACCTCCCTTTTCCCCCAAAAACCTCCCAAATTTCCTGCATTTTGGGTATATTTTGGAGCTTTTTAGGGCAGAAAATTATTATTTTTAACCAAACCCCCACATTTTTTAGTAATTCTTTACATCCAAGAGCCGGTAGAATCTTCTTTTTTCATGAAAACTCCCTTTATTTTCAGGGAAAAGTGCCCTTTTTTCTCACTATTTACAGAAAAAAGTGCACTTTGTCCTGAATATTTTGGGGTTTGGGTGGGGTTTTTCGAGATAAAAAAAGTATTTGGGTTTTTCCCCACTAAAAAACAAACAAACAAAAACATCTATTAAAAAAAAACTTTAAAATCCATTTTTAGAGGGGGTTTTAATGAAAAAAGTCCTTTTATTTGCTCTATTTTACTGAAAGATCAATATTTTTTAAGGAAAAAAATCCCTTTTATTCTCTGTTTTCCTGATTTTTTTTCCCTAATTTTCATGAACCTATTCAACCCTTTCTTTAAATTATTTTTAAAGGAAAATCCCTTTTATTTCCTTAATTTTTTTAATTGAGTCCTTTTTTTCTTTTTATTGAATTTATTAGGGAAAAAAAAAGCTCTTTTGAACTCTGTTTTAGGAAAAAAACCCTTTTAGTCACTGTATTTCAGTTTAAAAAATCATGATGGCTTATTTTTCTTCAAAATCTCCCCTTTTAGGAAAAAAACCGTTATTTATAATTTATTTCTGAGAAAAAAACCCTTATTCCTGTTTTTTATTCCCAATTTGTCACCCCAAACACCCAAATTCCCAATTGTTTGGGGTTTTTTTTCAGAAAAAAAAGGCCAAAATCAGCTTTTTTCTCTCAATAGCCCCTAAGTCCCTATTTTTTAAATTAAAAAAAATCCTTATCACCCATTTTTATATATAAATATATTAAGGGTTTTTTAAAATCAAATTTTAATCAAATTTTAATCAATTGATTAATTGATTAAAAGGTGATCAATAATCATCTTTTGGGGGGTTTTCTGCCAAGAATCTCCAAAATCCCTTTTTGGTCCTTTTAAAATCCCTATTCTTTGTGTAGTTTAATTTCATATATTTCTGTAGATTTATATGGATAAATATTAACTTTTACAAAAAATTTAAAGTGTTAATTGGCTAATAATATTAAATAGTGTAATTGAATAACATTATTACTTATTAATACTTATATCGTTAGATGCTGTGGATATATTAATTTCAAGTTTACACTAAATTAATTTTAAATATACACCACTATAGTTATGTATGGCTATAAGAATAGAAAGTAAATGTAATGTCTATATAAATATAATAATAAATAGATAAATGAAATAATAAATAAATATAATCTCTATGTATGAATATATTAATAGGAAAAAATATAATCTCTCTTGTATTATATAAAAATATGATATATAAAATTCAGTTATTCTTAATATATCTAAAAATAGCTAATATAATGTATTATATAATGTATTATATAATATAATATATTATGTAATATATTGGTATATTAATACAGCAAATTATATCTGTAATTACATCTGGATATTGAGAGATAATTATAAAATGGAATAATATATAAATAGAAATTAAATATGGACAATTTTATATTGTTATACAATGAAATGTGACAGAATTGTACTGGATTATAATATAACATTTTACTTATAATTGTATATAGTTAATTAATAGTAGAGAATACTTATTATGAATTTACAATTTATTTACACATAATAATGATAATAATAATAGTTATTAAAATTGTTTAATAGCTTTCACTTATATGTTATTTATCAACGTAATAACCCGTCAATATAATTTCTACTGTGATTATATATAAAAATAGAGCCTACAAATTAAAGATAAGGCTGCCATTACACCTTTCATGTCATATAAATACAATTCCTGCTATAATTCTATATTCCATATAATTCTATGTGATAGATATTATTCTATGTAATCCTACATTAAAAACCTATATAACTCTATAAAAAATTCTATATGTTCTATATACTATTCTATATAATTCTCTATGAGAAACCTATGTAATTGTCTTTATTAGGTAATCTATATCATCTCTGTAAAAAAATCTATATAGTTCCCTATAAAACATCTATATAATTCTATATAATAGGTATTATTCCATATAATCTTTTAATAAATTTATGTAATTCTATATAGTAGGTGTTATTCTATATAATCCTGCATAAAACCCTCTATATAATTCTATATAGTAGATATTATTCTATATAATTCTACATAAAAAATCTATATAATTCTTTATAATAGATACTATTCTCTATAATCCTACATAAACCCTAAATAATCTGGTACTATTCTATATAATTCTCTCTAAAAAATATAATTCTATATAATATATATTCTATATAATAATCTCTAAAAAAATGTCTATAATTCTATCCTATATTTATTATTGCATATAATCCTACATTAAAAAATGTCTGTAATTCTATATAATAGATATTGTTCTATATAATTCTACTTAAGAAATCTATATAATTCTGTATGATATATATTAATCTATATAATTCTCTATCAAATCCATGTAAATCTATATAAACCCCCATGTATAATTCTATATAGAAATCATCCCTCCAATCCCCTATTTCCTCGCTATCCACTGACCCAGGAGCCCCTTTCCCTGTTTTCCCAGCTCTCTCCAGCTGCAGCTCGGGGGGTCGGGAATTCCTGGCTGTGTTCCCCCAGAATGATGATGAGTCCCCGAGTGCAACACTGAAGCTGCTGCTCACCCGGCAGGGCCCCAGTGACACGGCAACCTCGGTGACACTGCACGGTCCCTTCGGCACCCGCGAGGTCACTGTGCCACCTGGTGTCACCAAGGCCGTGCCCATTCCCGCCCACCTGGAGCTCACAGGGAGCTGCATGGCCAACAAGACTGTGGTGGTCCGGGCCAGTGCCGATGTGGCCGTGGTGGCCATGAGCGCCAAGGGCTACACAGTGGGTGCCACGGCCCTGCTGCCCATGCCCAGCCTGGGCACCAGGTACTATGTGGTGACGCCCATGGGGAGTGACACCTACGGCATGGCTGAGCTCGTGGTGGTCGCCGGTGCTGCCATCACTGCTGTCTCCATCACCACCACGGCCACATTCCAGTATGCCGGGGACACCTACGTGCCGGGTGCGGTGCTGCGCCTCTTCCTGCAGCCCTACCACAGCCTGCAGCTGCAGAGCAGCCAGGACTTCACCGGCACCGCTGTGGTGGCCAACGCGCCTGTGGCCGTGCTCAGCGGCCACACTTGCACCAAGGTGGCCGCGGGCTACGACTTTGTGGTGGAGCAGCTCCTGCCAACAGTGGCGTGGGGGAGGAGCTACGTGGTGCCACCCAACCCGGTGCAGCCAGGCACTGACCTTATCTATGTGGTAACGGAGGATTGCAACACTATCACCTATAACAGCAGCAGCGGGGAGGTCACCATGACCATGGCAGCAGGGGAGGCGCGGGCATTGGTGGTGAACCACAACTCCCCCCTGCACCTCACTGCAGTGGCAGCGGTGCAGGTGCTGCTGTTCTTCACTGGCTCGTCTTGGCAAGACCCCTTCCTCCTCATCGTACCACCTGTCACTGCCCACTGCACCGCGTTCCACCTCAGCACTGTGCCCGGCTACTACAACCACGCCATCCTCATTGCGCCCACTGCCGCCACCACCGCCACCACTCTCAACCACCAGCCAGCTGCCGCCATGAAGTGGCACGGTGTTCCCGGCATGGAGTTCTCCTGGGCCGGCATCACAGTGAGTCCCCAGACACGGAGCGCCGAGAACCCACAGGCGCCCATGGGGCTCCTGGTGTTTGGGTTCGAGAGCAACACCGGGTACGGCTTTGCTGGGCTCTGCATCACCGGTGAGTACAGTGAGCCCATTGTTGAGTCAGCCCAATGGTTGGGCATTGTCCCGTTGGCCATCAGTGGGTTTCCCTGTTGCATCAACCCAACAGTTGGGTGTTATCCAGTTGGCCATCCATGGATTTCCCTGTTTTTTGCAGCTCCAGAGCCGGTCTCCTGCGAGGATTTGATGTGCGAGGAGAAGTGTGAGGTGGTGGATGGACAACCAAAGTGCGTCCAGGAGACCTTCTCCACCTGCTGGCTCACCAGTGGTTCGCACTACCGGAGTTTTGATGGGAAGAGCTTCGATTTCATGGGAACATGCACCTACACCTTGACCACCCTCTGCAGTTCTGATCCCACCTTTCCTGCCTTCTCTGTGGAGGTCCAAAAGGAGAAAAAGGAGAACTCTAAAGTCTCCTCCATTGGCTCCATCAACGTCCGCATTGACAATATCACCGTCACTGTGGTCCGGGCAGAAAACGGGATGGTGAGGGTAAGCAAAAATCAACATAATTCCCAAATTCCAAGCGATTTTATGGAGTTTCACCAAAATTACACATTTAGTGGTGATCTTGAGGGTCTTTTCCTAAATAATTCTGGGATTTCCTAGTGTGCAGACAGACCTTGCATGAAAAAAACCCAAATCTTCAAAAACTCCACATTTTGCCTGATTTTGATGGTTTTTTGGTTGTTTTGCTGGTTGTTACCTCCCCCAGGTGAACAACCACAGCTCTCGCCTGCCCATCTCCCTCTCCTGCGGGAAGCTCCGGATTCGCCAGAAGGGCAAATCCGTGTTGATCCAATTGGATTTCATGCTGAAGGTCCTCTACGACTGGGACGATCATGTGGTGGTCAAAATTCCAACTGCTTTTTCCGGGAGAGTCTGTGGGTTGTGCGGGAACAGCAACGGGAACCCCCGGGATGATGCACTGGCTCCCGATGGGAGCAAGGTGTGGGATATCGTGGAGCTGGGGCGGAGCTGGAAGGTGACCAATGGGAGCGGTCACTGCCAGGACACCTGCGAGGGGGACTGTGGGCGGTGTGGGTGGGATGAGGAGGTGATATACAAGGCAGAGCGGTGGTGTGGGGTGTTGTCCTGGCATGCCGGGCCATTCCGGCGCTGTCATGGCACCATCAATCCCAATGTCTACGTGAAGAACTGTATCCATGACCTGTGCGCCCATGGCGGCCATCGCGCTGTGCTGTGCCACGCCCTCCAGGCCTATGCCGACGACTGCCAAGAGAATGGGATCGACATTTCTGATTGGAGAATGAGGATGGGATGTCGTGAGTAGAGGGGATGGTTGGGTGGAAATACTCCCTGGGGTGGGCAGAGCTTAATTCAAGTGGGTCCCAAGATCTGTGGAATGGTGTGCTGGGAAAGGTTATGGCAGCAGGTCCAAGCAGGAAGTCTGTAAAAATCTAGGGAGACTCCAGGAAGTCCATGTAGAAAGTCCATAAAGTCCAGAGAGACTCCAGGAAGTCCATGTAGAAAGTCCATAAAGTCCAGAGAGACTCCAGGAAGTCCATGTAGAAAGTCCGTAAAGTCCAGAGAGACTCCAGGAAGTCCATGTAGAAAGTCCATAAAGTCCATGGAGTCTCTAGAAAGTCCAAGCAGGAAGTCCAGGAAGTCTGTGGAGACTTCAGAAAGTCCAGGTGGAAGGTTCCAGGAAGTCTGTGGAGGCTCAGAAAGTCCAGGTAGAAGATCAAGAAAGCCCATGGAGACTTCAGAAAATCCATGGAAACTCCAGGAAGTCTGTGTAGATAGTCCAGGAAGTCCATCCCACCACATCTCACCTCACCCTGACCATGGTCTCCCTCCCTTTCCAGCTTTCACCTGCCCTCCCAACAGCACCTACAGCACCTGTGGCCCCACCTGCCCCCCTACCTGCAACATCCCGGCTGTGCCGTCCAGCTGTGCCGCCAGCACCACCTGCGTGGACTCCTGTGTGTGCCACGAGGGCCTTGTCCTGGATGCCAACATCTGCATCCCCCCTTCCGACTGTGGTTGCGTCTTCGGGGGTCTCTTCCATGGCCTAGGAGAGGAGTTCTGGGGTGATCCCACCTGCACACAGCGCTGCGTGTGTGATGCGGAGCAGCGGCAGGCAGTGTGCCGGAATTCCAGCTGCGGTGCAGAGGAGGAGTGTCGGGTGCAAGAGGGAATCCAGGATTGTTATCCCAAAGTTTTTGGGGTCTGCAGCGCTGTTGGAGCCACCCACTATGAAACCTTTGACAGCAGGAGGTTCATCTTCCAGGGGACGTGTGTCTACCTGTTTGTTGGGTTATGTGAAGACAACCCAAATTTGGTGGGGTTCCAGGTGTTGGTGCAGAACGGCCGCCAGGGTGACAGGCGCCTGTTGGCCATTGCCATGGTGACAGTCAAAGTCTACAACAAAACCATTGGCATCAGCAGGGAACAGCCTGGGAAAATCATGGTGAGCTCAGGAAATGGTCCTTTATCCTTCCACCACCTCCTCCCAAACCTCCTCACCCATTAATTAATGATTAAATCTGAAATGGAATTAAATCAATGTCATTTGGGTGCTCCAGCTGTTGAAAACACTGGTGGAATTTGCTGTGAGACCCCAGATTTGATCCATTTTTATGGTTTTCCCCCCAGATTAATGAGTGGTTGGTCAACCTCCCACTGGGACTTGAACCGCCTCATCCTCTTAAATCCAAAACTTAATTCCATCTAATATTTAATTAAACCAATGCCATTTAGGTGCTTTGGCTGTTGAAAATAAGTTGGGATTTCCCCATCAGACCCCAAATTTGGTCCATTTTTATGGTTTTTCCCCCAGATCGATGAGCGGTTGGTCAACCTCCCATATCTCCATGGTGACAAGCAGATTGTTGTCTATCGCCACGGGCGGGACGCAGTGGTAGAGACCAACTTTGGCCTTGTTGTTACCTATGACTGGCACAGCCATGTCACTGTGACAGTGCCCGGTGCCTTCGCCAACGCCCTGTGCGGGCTCTGTGGGAACTTCAACGGCGCTGCCAGTGATGACATGAGGATGAGCAACAGCAACATGGCGTCAGACCCGGATGCCTTTGGGAGCAGCTGGAAGGTCGCCGATATCCCGGGATGCACTGAGAGATCGATGGCGGAATGTTCTGGTGCCACCACGGCACCACAGCTGCAACAGGAGGTGTCCGGGATGGGGTGTGAGATTATGTTGGAAAAGGATGGACCCTTTGGAGCATGTCATGGCCACGTGGACGCCCAGCCGTACTTCCAGAGCTGCATCCGGGACTCCTGCCTCGTCCCGGAGCAGGAAGATGGGATGTGTCCGATCATTGCCAGCTACGCCAGCGCGTGCCAGGCTGCCGGCGTGTCCATTGGGAGGTGGAGGATGGATAATTTCTGCTGTAAGTTGGGATGATTGGAGGGGTTTTCCTTCAGCAGGATCCTCAATTCCACTCCAAATCCATGTAGGAACAACCCAGAGGTGGGAAACCAGTAGGAATCTCAGCCAAAGTCTTGGTTGGTCCCATAATCCCCGTTTCCACCCAAAGTAAACCCTTTGCAAGGAAGAAGTTGTTTCATCTGGGATCCTTTCCCCCAGAGTTCCAATTTCTTGGTATTGGATAGAAATTGGATGATTTAGAGGGAAAACCACCAAAAATGCACCAAAAATAGCAGAACTGGGGCAAGGGGATCCAGCCTGGAGGTCATGTGAGGATCCAGCATGTGAGGATCCCATTCCTTGATGGAACGTCCCAGTTTTCTCCATGAAAATGGAGAAAATTATGTGATTTAGGGGCAAAAATTCCTATTTAAGTGCATTGGGATGTTCCTTATGGATGATCATTGGATCATGACTGGGTAGGCACTGCATTATCATTGGATGATGTCCCTCATCATGTCTACAGGGACGAAAACAAAGATTGGGCTAAAAACTCTGTGTTTGGTGATGTTCATCACCGGACACACTTGAACTCTGGGAAACCTCCAGGGTTTGGCTTGGGAATTTCCTGGTTCTTCACGGATCCTGTTATTTCCCAGCAGATATTCCCTGCCCTCCTAACAGCTCCTACAAGCTCTGCTCTAACACCTGCCAGCACAGCTGCGGTGCCAGCTCTGCCACGTGCCCAGGGCGGTGCCGCGAGGGCTGCGCGTGCCATGATGGCTTCATGCTCAGCGGGGACGAGTGTGTGCCCACAGCTCACTGCGGCTGCACCCACCACGGCGTGTACTACAAGGAGGATGAGACCTTCTACCCCACAGAGCATGAGGAGTGCCGGTGCCTCTCCAGCAGTGCTGTGGAATGCCAAAATATTTCCTGTCCTGATGGCAGCCCTAGGAAGGTCGTTGATGGCATCTTCCAGTGTCCCCCGCCAGCATCCGGCACCTGCGTGGCCATGGGAGACAGTGCCTATATCACCTTCGACGGGGTGGCCTTCAATGTCACCGGGTCCTGCTCCTACATCCTCAGCCAGACCTGCAGGGGTGACGTGACATCGTTTGTGGTCACAATCCAGAAAGAGGCCCGTAGGAAGGGGAAGGTTTCCGGGATCCAAGCATTGTCTGTGGAAGTCTATGGGGTCAACTTGACCTTAACCCAAGGAAAAGGGGGAGATGTCATGGTAAGGTGGCACTTCATGGGCCAGATCTCATGGGTTCCCCCCAGAATTGTGTTTCATTGATGGAGGGGACACCTCACCCTATCTCCAAGCCCAATCCATATTCATCCCAACTTTTCTTTTCAAGCAAGACCCATAAACGCATCAAAACATTGGTTGGAAGGTGTTTTCCCCACATTTCTGGTCCCACCTCCTCACTGGAGGACTCTTCCTTCCCTTTCCCAGGTGAATTCAGTCTCTCACCACCTCCCAGCCATCCTGGGCGAGGGGCAAATCCAGGTGTATCCCCATGGGACAGGGGTCCTGCTCCGCACTGACTTCGGCCTCGTCGTCCACTACGACCTCGCCCAGCACGTGACACTCACAGTCCCCCAGACCTACCTGGGCCACCTGTGTGGCCTCTGTGGCAACTACAACGGGCAACATGACGATGATTTCCACCTCTCCAACGGCCAGTTGGCTCTGGATGCAACAGCCTTTGGATCCGCATGGAAAACCAAGGATAGGCCTTGTGAAGACGCCTGTCCTGACAAGGAGTGTTCCACCTGCTCCAAGGAGAAGATGCTGGTCCTCCAGAAACCCAACTACTGCGGCCTCCTCACAGCCCCCGAGGGGCCCTTTGGCTCCTGCCACAGTGTCGTTGACCCCACCCCATATTCCCAATCCTGCGTCCATAACCTCTGTGTGACTGGAGGGGATACAGGTGCCCTGTGCCAGAGCATCCAGAGCTACGTCAGCATGTGCCAGGATGCTGGAGTCGCTGTGGGGGATTGGAGGACGCCGTCCTTCTGCCGTGAGTTTGGGGGGAAATGTCCCTGGTTTGGGGTTGGGGAGATCCCCTGGTGAGAGCCCACCTGGAGCGTTGGGAGTTGGGGGAGATGTCTCTTCTTTGGGGTTGGGTGACAGCGGTGACACTCAGGATGTGGGATGATGGTGACGGGCTGAGCTTTAGGGTCCCTTCCAACCCAACTCAGTCCATGATTCCATGAAAATTCCAGCCCTCCCCTGCCCGGCCAACAGCACCTACTCCCTGTGCACCAACACCTGCGCCAACACCTGCGCCGGGAGGGCCACCACGTGTCCCCAGACCTGTGCTGAGGGCTGCCAGTGCCACCAGGGCTCCGTGTCAGATGGGCAGGGCTGCATTCCCGAGGAGCAGTGCGGGTGCTTTGAGGATGGGCGATACTACAAGGTAGTTTTTCCAGGGTATTTTCCCTTTTCTCCCTATTTTTAGGCATTTACATCCTTTCCCCCTGCATTTTTCCCTATTTCTATACATTCGCATCCTTTTCCCTGCACTTTTTTCCTTCTTTTCCCTATTTTTCTGTTTCACCTCTATTTTTCCTGCATTTTTTTCCTTTTGTTCATATCTTTCTGCATTTACCTCTCTTTCCATGGCACTTCCCTTTTGTTCCCTAGTTTTATGGATTTACGGTTTGTATTACTTCCTTCCTTTTTTCCCTGTTTTTATTCATTTACATCTTTATTCCCTGCATTTTTCCCTTTTCCCTATTTTCCTGTCTATTTCCCAGCATTTCCCCCCCCAGTTTTGTCTTTTTTTTCCCCCTCTGCATGTAATTCCTTTTTTTCTCTATTTTTAGGAAGTTTTTTCCCCTGTATTTTTCCCTATTTTATGCATTGGCATCTCTTTTCATGCATTTTCTCTGCATTTTTCCATAATTTTATGCATTTGTCTTTTTTCCCTGCATTTTCCCCTTTTCCCTTATTTTTCTATTTTCCCAGTATTTCCCCCCCATTTTTGCCTTTTCTGCCCCGCTTTTCAATCATTTTATTCACGATTTTTCTGCCTTTGTGTCCTTCTTTCCTGCATTTTTCCTTTTTATCCCCTGTTTTCATGGATTTCCCTTTCTTCCTTCCTCCCTCCTTACAGCCCCATGAGGTGGTTTTCCAGGATCGCTGCCAGCGCCGGTGCTCCTGTATCCCAGGCCAGGGCCTCACCTGCCACGACCACTCCTGCACTGAGGATGAATCCTGTGAAATTCGGGAGGGGGTCTTGGGATGTATCAACAAAAGTGAGGGAAAATGGGGGAAAAGGGGATTTTGATTTAGTGGGGAAAATCCTGCGGGAAGGGGAGGCAGAGGGAACAGATCCCATCCCTGGCACTGAGGGTCAGGAATGGGGAGGTTCTTCCCATGGCTTCTCTCATCCCATGACTTTTCCCATTCCATTGTTCCTCCCCTGGTTTCTCTCATCCCATGGTTTTTCCCATGGTCTTTCCCATGTTTTTTCCCATCCCATGGTTTTTCTCATTTTTCTTCCCATGTTTTTTCCCCACAATCTTTCCAATGGTTTTCCCATCCTGTGGTGCCTTCCATGGTCTTTCCCATGTTTTTTCCCATCCCACGTTTTTTCTCATTCTTCTTCCCATGTTTTTTCCCCAGGTCTTTGCCATCCCATGGTTCCTTCCATAATTTCTCCCATGATTTTTCCCATTCCATGATTTTTCCCATCCTGTGATTCCTCCCATGGTTTCTCCCACGATTTTTCCCATCCCATTGTTTTTCCCATCCCATAGTTCCTTCCATGACTTCCCCCAAGTATTTTCCCATCATTTCCCCCAAACTGTGGCTTCTCCCAATGCTCATCCCACATTCCCCCCTCTCTCCCTCCCTTCCCAGACCCCTGCAAGTCCCTGAGGTGCCGCCCCAAGGAGCGGTGCCGGCCCCGTGGCTCCGAATCCCGCTGTGTCCCAGCGCTGGTGGCCACGTGCTGGGCATGGGGGGATCCCCACTTCCGTACCTTCGACGGGCTAGAATTCGACTTCCAAGGAACCTGCACCTACACCATGGCCGAATCCCATGGGAATGACCCCAGGCTGGAGCCCTTTAGGGTGGAGGCCAGGAACGACATCCGGGGCGGGATCAGATCCGTGTCCTATGTCTCCGTTGTCAACATCGACGTCTATGGACAACGCGTGTCCTTCCACCACAACGAGGACGGGAAAGTCCGGGTGAGCTGGGGGGAAAGGGGAGAAATCTGGGATTTTTTCCAACTTTTTGCTTTATCCAGCACTTCCCAACATCCTCCTTCATCTGGCCAATGGTTCTGTCAGCACCAGTGTTGTTTTGGGATAAATCAGTCAGACTGGGAGGTGGATTGTTGAAATTTTGGGATGTTTTGGGGATAAAATGTTGGGAATAGAGTACTTGGATATGTCAGGAACAGAATATTGGTATGTGCCAGGAATAAGATGTTGGGATAAGTTGGGAATACGGTGTTTGGGTATGTTGGGAATAAAATATTGGGATGTGTCAGGAATAAAATGTCGGGATACGGTGGGAATAAAATGTTGGGAATAGAATATTTGGATATGTCAGGAACAGAATGTTGGGATAGGCTGGGAATAAGATTTTGGGATTTATTGGGAATACAATGTTGGGATATGCCCAGAATAAAATGCTGGGATATGTCTGGAATAAAACATTAGGATATGCCAGGAATAAGATGTTGGGATGAGCTGGGAATAAAATGTTGGGCTGCATTGGGAATAAGATGTTGGGATAAATTGGGAATAAAATGTTGGTGTATCTAGGGAATAAAATAGTAGGATATTTCAGGAATAAGATGTTGGGATGCACCAGGAATAAAATACTGGGGGATGTTAGGATATTTTGGGAATAAAATATTTGAACATGGTAGGAATAGAATGTTGGGATAAAATATGGCAGGAATAAAATATTGGGATATGTGATGTGTAAAACATTGGGGTATGATGGGATTTAATGTTGGGAACATGCTGTGAAAAAGAATTGGGATATGTAGGAAATAGAATATTGGGAATGAAATGCTGGTGTGTGTTGAATCCAACCCTGGGATACCTGGGAATGCTGGCAGGTGAACGGGGAGCTGGCCCTGCTCCCAGTGTTCCTGGTGGATGGGAGGCTCCGTGTCCATCCCAGCGGGCTCCGCGTCACCCTGGACACGGATTTTGGGCTCCGTGTCTCCTACGACTGGAACTGGCATCTCTTCATTGACCTCCCCAGCAGCTTCTTCAGCCACGTCCGTGGCCTCTGTGGGAACTTCAACCTGCAGCCCCTGGACGACATCCCCGAGGCCGGCGACAACATCCCTGCCCTGGTGGCCTGGGCCAGGGGCTGGAGAAGCTCCGACCCCGATGCCCAGGATCCCCTTTGTTGGGATCACTGTGATGGGGAGTGCCCAGTGTGCGAGGAGAAGGAGCTTTGGGGTGGGAACAGCTACTGTGGGATCATCAAGAAGTCCTTCCAGGGGCCCTTCCGGGCATGTCATGCTGTGGTGAAGCCCCAGGAGTTCTTTGGCAGCTGCCTGGCCGAGCTGTGCCGGAGCCGCGGCGCGAGGCAGGTCCTGTGCCGGGTGCTGGAGACTTACGCGGCCACGTGCCGGAGGAGCGGGGCAACCGTGGGCGACTGGAGGACACCAGCAGGATGCCGTAAGGGATGGGGGTGCTTTGCGGTCCAGCTCCTAAAACCTATCTGGTTTCATTCCAAATCCCCTGAGTCCCCCAATTCCATCCCCAATTCCCTTCATCCAACCTAAAATCCCCTTGGTTTCTCCCCAGATCCCTGGTTTTGCCCCAAAACTACTTAATTCCACCGCAAATCCCCCAAATATCACCCAAAACCCCTTAATTCAACCCCAAAATCCCTTAATTCCTCCTAATCGTGCCCCCAATCTCACCAAAATCCTCCAGAGTTCACACAAAATTCCCTGAATTCTACCTAAAATTCCCAAAGACCCCTCTAAGACCCTCTCTTACCCCCTCTAGACCCCCAGAGGCCCCAGGCCCCCCAGAGCCCCCCCTTTTCATGGGGTCCATCCTCCCAGGCCTTGGGGCTCTGAGGGGCCACTTGGCGGGCACTTCAGGTCCTGGGGGGCATTTTTGGGGCACTTCTGGAGCAGTGAGATCCATCTCAGTGTGAAGCCCTCAAATCCCTCTTCTGGCAGTTCTCCAGAACCTTCTCCTGGTGCTCCAGACTCTGCTCCTTGTGGCCCAGACCCTATCCTGTGTGTCCCAGACCCCTTCCCATGTGTCCCAGACGCTGTCCTCCCTGTTCCCACACCCTTCGCACATGTCCCAGACCCCATCTCACTTGTCCAAGACCCCATTCCCTGTTTCCCAGACCTCCTTGCATGTCCCAGCCCCCATCCTGCATGGCCCAGACCCTTCCTACATGTTCCAGACCCTGTCCTGCCTGTTCCCAGCGCCCATCCCTTGTATCCCAGACCCCTTCCCACATGTCCCAGCCCCCATCCCACACTTCCACACTTCCTAGACTTTCCTCCTCATCCTCCATACCCTTCTCCTGGTTTCCCAGACCCTTTCGCACCCCTCCCATCAGATGCTCTCCACTGTCTCCATCCCTCATCCCAGTTCTCTCTCTCCCCAGCCCTCCCTTGCCCCGAGAACAGCCACTATGAGCCATGTGGCACCGCCTGCCCAGCCACCTGCTCCGACCCGGATGCTCCCTCCTCGTGTGCCCTGCCGTGCGTGGAGTCCTGTGTGTGTGACCGCGGCCACATGCTGAGCGCCGGGCACTGTGTGCCTGTGTCCCGCTGCGGCTGCACCCGTGCCGGGCGCTACCACCGCCCCGGTGAGGAGTTCTGGGGGGACCCCTCGTGCCGCTCCTGGTGCCGCTGTGACCCAGACCTGGGCATGGTTGTGTGTGAGGAGGCCAGGTGTAAGTCAGGTGAGGTGTGTGCCGTGGTGGAGGGTGTCAGGAGGTGCGTGGCTACCAACCGCTCCATCTGTGTGGCCACGGGGGACCCCCACTACACCACCTTCGACGGGCACCGCTACGACTTCATGGGCACCTGTGTGTACCTGCTGGCCGGGCTGTGCTCCCCTGACCCCACCCTCGTGCCCTTCAATGTCACCGTGGAGAACAACCACCGTGGGAACAACCGTGTGTCCTTCACCAAGGTGGTCACCTTAGAGGTGTTCAATGTGAGCCTCAGCCTCAGCCAGGAGCACCCCAAGAAGGTCAAGGTAGGGGAGAGGCAGAGGATGGGAGGGGGGTTCAGTCATTCCGTGGGTTTTGGGAGGGGCTGAGGTCATTGTGTGGCATTTGGGGGAGCTTCAAGGTCTTTGCATGGTCTTCAGGTTGGTTTCAAGGTCATCACATGACACCTGGGTGGGGGTTCAAGGTCTTTTTAAGGTGTTTAGGTGGGTTTCAAGGTCATTGTATGGTGTTATGTTGGGTTTCAAGGCCACTGTATGGTCTTCAGGTGGCTTCTAAGGCCATCCCATGCCATCCAGGTTCCCTTCAAGCCCATCCCCTACCCCCTTGGTGGTCTCCAAGTCCATCCTTTGACCTCCCACCCACAGGTCGACGGCGTCCTGCTGGACCTGCCCTTCTCTCACCCCTCCCACGAGCTCCGGGTGTCCCTGCGGGGTGTCCACGGCTTCATCAGCACGGCCTTTGGCGTCACCGTCACCTTCGACTGGCACAGCTATGCCCGCGTGATCCTGCCCAGCACCTTCGCCGGTGCCGTCTGTGGCCTCTGTGGCAATGCCAACGGAGACCCCCACGACGACTTTGTCACCCGCCAGGGCCACCCTGCCCACAATGACACCCACTTTGGGGACAGCTGGAAGGTCTCTGAGGTCCCTGGGTGCTCCCCAGGGTGCACCGAGGGCTGCCAGGGGTGCAGCAACACCCAACGCCGTACCTACCGCGGGGACAAGCACTGTGGCATCCTGGTGAAGAAACGGGGGCCCTTGGCCACGTGCCACGAGGTCATTGACCCTGCCCCATTCCTGGAGGACTGTCTGTTTGACACGTGTCTCTTCGAGGGCCACCACGACGCCGTGTGCCAGGCCGTGGGCGCCTACGTCAGCGCGTGCCAGAGCCGCGGCGTGGCCGTGGGGCCCTGGCGCACACACGCATTCTGCAGTACGGGGCACTGGGGCTACAGAGGGATTTGGGATGTCCATGAGGGCTTGGGGTGTCCACAGGGGGTTTTGGGGTGTCCATGGAGGTTTTGGGGTCTGCGGGAGAGTTTTGGATTGTCCATGACAGTTTGGGGGGCTGCATGGGGCTTTTGGGGTGTCCAAAAGGGTTTTGGGGTATCTACAGGGGTTTTGGGGTGTGAATGGTTTTTTTTCGGTGCCCATGGGAGTTTAGGGTCTGCATGAGGAGTTTTGGGTTGTCCATGAGGTTTTCAGGGTGTCCACAGTGGTTTTGGGGTGTGAATGGGGAGTTTTGGGGTGTGAATGGCGGGGTTTGGGAGTGTGAATGGCAAGTTTTGGGATGTCCATGGGGGTTTTGGAGTGTGAATAGGGGTTTTGGGGTGTCTGTGGGGTTTTGGGGTGTGAATGGGAATTCTGTGTCTGCATGGGGGTTTTGGGGTGTCCGTGGGGGTTTTATGATCTGCATGGGAGGGTTTTGGGGTGTCCATGGGGCTTTTGGGGTCTACATGGAGAGTCTTGGGTTGTCCATGGGAGGTTTTGGATCTGCTCCAGGGGGTTTGAGGTTTGGTTGGGGGGGTCTTGGGGTCTGCATGGGGAGATTTAGGGTGTCCATGGAGAGGGGTTGGGTTGTCCATGAGGGTTTTGGAGTGTCCACAGTGGTTTTGGGGTGTAAATGGGGAGTTTTTGGGTGTCTATGAGGGGTTTTGGGGTCTACATGGGGAATTTTGGGGTGTCCAGGGGAGGTCTTGGATCTGCACAAGGGGGTTTGAGGTTTGCATGGGAGGTTGTGCAGTTCAGGCAAGGGAGTTTCGGGGTGTACATGGGGGGTTTGGGATTCACACATAGGATTTGGGGGTCTGCACAGGGAGACTTGGGGGTCCATGAGGTTTTCGGGGTGTCCATAGAGCTTTGGGGGGTTGCAAGGAAATTTTTGGGTCTCCATGGAGTTTTGGGGGGTTGCAGGGGTTTTTTTGGGTGTCCATGAGGGTTTTGGGGTGACCATGAGGGTTTTGGGGTGTCCATGGGGGTTTGGGGCATCCCTGGGAGTTTGCAGATTGTTTTTTGGGTGTTCATGAGGGTTTGTGGGGGGAGGGGGTGTGTCCATGGAGGTTTGTGGGGTTTTTGGGTGTCCATGGGAGTTTTGTGGTTCTCAAGGGATTTTCTGGGTGTCTATGAGGGCTTGGGGGTTTTGTAGAATTTTTTTGCCGTGTCCATAGGGGTTTGGGATTTTTTTGGGTGTCCATAGGAATTTGGGGAGTCCATGAGGGTTTTAGGGTGTCCGTGGGGGTTTGGGTTTTTTTGGGTGTCCGTGAGGGTTTTGGGGTGTCCATAGGGGTTTGAAGGTTTGCAGGGAATTTTCTGGGGTGTCCATGGGGGTTTGGGTTTTGCATGGGATTTTTTGCGGTGTCCATGTGGGGTTTGGGGGTTTTTTGCTTGTCCGTACGTGTTTGTGCTCCTCACCCCTCTCCCCTTCCCGCAGGCCCTGTGTGCCCCCCGAACGAGCACTACGAGCTGTGTGGCCCCCCGACCGACCCCGACGAGTCCGGCCCGCCGTCCTGCCCCGAGCCCTCCCCGTGCTCCGAGGGCTGTTTCTGCGATCCCGGTTATTTCCGAAGCGGGGATTCCTGTGTCCCGCTATCCCAGTGCGGCTGCACTCTGGAGGGTCGTTATTACCCCCGGGGGGCGCAGTTCTACCCCTCCCCGTCCTGCACCCAGCGCTGCGTGTGCTCTAGGGGGGGGCACGTGGAGTGTGAGCCCACCCCTGGGTGCCCCCCGGGCCAGGAGTGCGGGGTGCGAGACGGGGTCCTGGGGTGCCACCCCCGCAGCGCCTGCGGGCACTGCCAGCTCCTGGGGAGGGGCACCTACAGCACCTTCGGGGGGCAACTGGGGGGCTTCGGGGGCTCCTGCACCCTCCCGCTGCTGGAGATGGACGCGGGGGACCCTGAGGAGGGGCCGCAGCCCCTCAGGGTGGCCCTGGAGCAGCACGAGGGGGAGGTGAGGAGGGTGACGGTGACGGCGCAGGGGATGACGGTGGCCATGGACAGGGGACAGCGCTGGGAGGTCATGGTGAGTGCGGGGCGGGGACACCTGGGTTTGGGGGGGCAAGTCCCGGTTTGGGGTGGAAAACCTTGGGTTGGGGAAGAGAACCTTGGGTTGGGGGTGCAAATCCTGGAGTTGAGGGTGCAAGTCCTGGTTTGGGGGCAAAAACCCTGGTTTTGAGGTGAGAACACCAGTTTTTTGGGGAAAAAGAGGATGGAAATGGGGGTTTGGTGGGCTCAGCAACAGGGAAAGGGCTGTTTTGGGGTAAAACCTCTGACTTTGGGGTGCAAGCCCTGGTTTGGGGTTTAAACCCCCCTTTTTTTTTTTTTTTTTTTTAATGTATAAACCCTGTTCTTTTTGGCGTGCAAACCCTGTTTGAGGGGGATGCAAACCCTACTTTTGGGGTATAAACCCTTTTTGGCAGGGGGTACGAACCCTGGTTTTGGGATGAAAACCCTATTTTTGCGGTTATAAATCCTGTTTTTGAGGTACAAAATCGTATTTCTTTGGGATTATAAACCCTGTCTTTTGGTGTATAAACCCTGGGTTTTGGGGTATAAACCGTATTCTTTGGCATTTTAAACCATGGGGTTTGGGGTAGAACCGCTATATTTTGGGGTATAAATCCTATTTTTGGGGGGTATAAACCCTGTTTGGGGGGATGCAAACCCTGTTTTGGGCGTGTAAACCCTATTTTTAGGGTTATAAACCCTATTTTTGGGGGTTATAACAGGAGTTAAGAAACCCCTGTTTCTTTGGGGTACAAACCCCAGTTGTGGGGCTGCAATCCCTATTTTTGGGGGGTTCCCCCCCTTTTAGGCTCCAACCCCCCCTTGCCCCCTCCCAGGTGGACGGCGAGCGCCACATGCTCCCCCTGTGGCTCGGGGGGGGCTCCCTGGGGGTCACCCAGGTGGGGTCCCACCGGCTGCTCCACGTGCGGGGGGGGCCCAAAATCCTGTACGACGGCGATTCCTACGCAGTGCTGACGCTGCCTCCCGCGCAACAACCCCCGCGCGGGCTCTGCGTGGACCCCAAAATTTTGGGGACGCCTCCCCCGAACTGCACACATGCGGACCCTGCGGGGACTCCCCCGTGCCCCCCGGGGCGCTGCGCGGTGCTGGCGGATCCCGCAGGGCCCTTCGGGGGGTGTCACCGCGCGGTGCCTCCCCGGGCGCACCTGGACACGTGCGAGCTCCAGGTGTGCGCGGGAGGGGCCGGGGGGGGCGATCCCTGCCCCGCATTCCAGGGATACGCGGCCGCGTGTCAGGCGGCGGGGGGGGAACTCCGAGAGTGGCGCGAGGAGACAGGATGTCGTGAGTACACGGGGATTTAGGGAATTTGGGGGGTGGGGAGGAGGACGGGGTGGGAGTTTTGGGGTTGGGAGTTTTGGGGCTGGGAGTTTTGAGGGTTGGGAATTTTTTGGGGGAGGATAGCAGGAATTTTGTAGTTGTCAATTTGGGGCTGGGGATTTTTGGGATAGCAGGAGTTTGGGGATTGGGAATTTTGGTGTTAGGCTTTGGGGGGTCGGGAATTTTGGGGGTGGGAATTTTGGCTTTGGGAATTTGGGGGGGCAGGAATTTTGGGGCATGGGAATTTTGGAGGTTGGGGATTTGGGGGTCAGGGATCTGGGATAGCAGGAATTTTTGGGGTTGGGAATATGACCCCCACTGAGCCCCTTGGCCCCAGGTGCCCCTCGGTGACCCCTCTGTCTCGCCCCCAGCCCTGCTGTGCCCCCCCCGCTCCCAGTACCAGCTCTGTGCCCGCACCTGTGCCCGCACCTGCGCAGGTGTGTCGGCCCCGCCCCCCTGCAGCGGGCGGTGCTTCGAGGGCTGTCAGTGCTCTGAGGGGCTCCTTTTCGACGGCGCCCGCTGCGTCCCCCCGGGGAACTGCGGCTGCTTCCACCAAGGGCGGTACTTCCAGGTGGGTGTGGCCCCAGTGCCTCCCAGTCCCGCCCAGTTCAGTCCCAGCCCTGGGTCTTCCCAGTTTTCCCAAGTTGATCCCACTCCCCGTCACTGCACCCCCCAGTGTCCCTTATACCTCCCAGTATGCTCCAGTTTCCCCCCAGACCCTTCCAGTCTCCCCCAGTTCCCTCCAGTGTGCCCGCTCAGTATCCCCAGTCTGTCCCAGTAATTCCCCCCAGTCTCTTCTAGCCATCCCCAGTTGATCCCACTCCCCTCTGGTGTGCCCCCACTGTCCCCACTTCCCTCCCAGTACATCCCAGTTGCCTCACAGTGCATTCCAGTCCTTCCCTACTATCCACCCTGGTGTTCCCAATCCCTCCCAGTTTTTCTCTGTCCCCCTCACCAATGGCTCCTAATTTATACCAGTACCACCCAGTGTTTTTCCCAGCATCCCCCCGAATGTCCCAGAACCCCAGTGCCTCCTCCATCATTCCCAGTGTGCCCTAGAAAGTCACAGTGTCCCCAAATGTCTCCAAAATGTTCCGGTTTCCCCCAGTGCTTCCCCCAGCATTCCCAGCATCCCTCAGAATTTCCCAGCATCCCCTGGCATTCCCAGTGTCCCCCAGAATGTCCCACTGTCCTTCCCAGTGTCCCCCAGTGTCTCAAGAATATCCCAGTATCCCAGCGTCTCCACCAGCATTCCCAGTATCCCCCAGAATGTCCCAGTGTCCCCATGTCCCCCAATGTCTCCAGAATGTCCCAGTGTCCCCAGTGCCTCTCCCAGCATTCCCAGTGTCCCCAGTGCCTCCCCCAGCATTCCTAGTGTCCCCCAGCAGGTCCCAGTCCCCCCTAAGTGTCCCCATGGGGGGGATGGGGATGTGGGGAGACATGGGGCCATGGACCATGACACCTTCACAGCAACATCATCCCTATTTTTTGACCACTTTTTCCCACTTTTCCCCCCTTTTTCCCTGGAAACAGATCGCCCAGACCATCCTGACCCGGGACTGCTCCCAGTCCTGCACATGCCGGGGCCCAGGGGGGCTCCAGTGCCGCCCCTTCTCCTGCCCCCTGGGCCACACCTGTGACCTCTTGAATGGCACCCGGACCTGTGTCCCCCGCCCAGGGCGGTGCCTCCTGTCCTCCCCCACCCACTTTGTCACCTTCGATGGCCTCCCCGGGGCCACCCTGGCCACCGGCATCTACGTGGTGGCCACTGTGTGTGACCACCGGGCCCCCACCTGGTTCCGGCTGCTGGGGGTCATTGGGGACATCGGGGACCACCCAGGGGTGGTGGCCCTTCACCTCTTCACCCACCACGGGCTCATCACCGCCCGCACGGACAGCAGGGTCTGGGTGAGTTGGGCCCAAAAGTGCCACCCTGAAGTTCTCCTGACCTTGATTTTAACCAAAAATCTGGGTTTTCTCCTTTATTTCATGCTGGGAAAAAGTCCATGTGGGTTGTCCCATCCCACCACCACAAGATGTTCTAACCTTGATTTTGCCCCAGATTGCTCTTTTTTCCTCTGATTTCATGCCAGGGAAGCACCTACATGGGTTGTCCCTCACCGTGCCTTGACCCACCTCATCATTTTGACTAAAATTGCTCTTTTTTCCCCCAATCACTCTTTTTTTCCCCCAATTTTGTGCCAGAGAGGCACCTATATGGGTTGCCCCTCATCCCACTCCCCCATGCCTTGATCCATCCCATCATTTTGCCTAAAACTGCTCTTTTTTTCCCTAATTGCTCCTCTTTCTCCCAATTGCATGCCAGGGAAGCAGTCCTGTGGGCAGCGGTCACTATGACACATCCATAGACTGACCCACCCCATCATTTTTGCTAAAATTGCTCATTTCTTCCCAATTTCATGAACCTACACAGGTTGTCCCTTCATCCCACCATGCCTTGACCCATCCCATCATTTTCCCCAAACTCCTTCTTTCCCACCCAGACTCCTCCAATCCCCCCTCCCACATCCCAATACCGAAATCCCTCACAATTTGGCTTTTCCAGCTCAACGGAGTCCCCACCCCCCTCCCCACGGAGCTCTCGGGGAAGTTGAACATCACAGAGTCAGGCGGGACCCTCCGGATCGGGTGGATCCCAGGATTCCAGGTGGAACTGGGAGCCCAGGGGGTGGCCCTGGAGGTGACAAAGGACACTCGGGGGACTCTCTGTGGCCTCTGCGGGAACTACGATGGGGCCACGACCAATGACCTGCGGGGCCCCGACGGGACAGTGACAGGGGACACGAGGGAGCTGGCACAGGCCTGGAGGGCTCCTGACTTCAGCCAGGTGGGGACACCTGGGGGGGCAAAGGGGGAGGGGCTGGTGGGGGTTGGAAGGAAAAAAGGGGAAAAGAGCGTGAAAAAGAGAGGGAAGAGCCTGCCAGCAAGGGGAAACATGGAAAAAAAAGATGGAAAAGAGCTTAAAAAGGAGGGAAAGAGCCTTAAAAGGAGGGGAAAAGAGAAAAGAGGTGAAAGAGCCAAAAACAGGGGGAAAGAGCCCAAAAAGAGGGAGAAAGAGTCCAAAAAAGAGAAAGAGACCCCAAAAAAAGGGGGAAAGAGCCTCCCAAAAAGGGGAGGGTAGCACAAAAATGGGGGAAAAGAGCCAAAAAAGGGGGAAAAGTGACCAAAAAAAAAGGGGAAAGAACCTCCCCCGGGGGTGGGGGGGACGGGGACGGGACAGCCCTAGAAAACAGGGGAATGTTCAAAAAAGCATGAAAATGACCAAAATAGAGGGAAACTGCCCCAAAGCTCCTCTGGATTTTTCCTTTTTTCCCTTCCAGTGATGCAGAAAATCGACTTTTCGCCGCTTCCGTGACCCGAAACCGCCCCGGAGACGGAACAGCCGCGTTTCTATATCCCTCAAACCCGCCCTGCCCTTCCCCCCCAAAAAATAAAAGTTGGGGAGAAAACGCCGTTTGCGGGTGATTTGTGGGTGGAATTCCGGGAGTTCTGGAGAAAGCAGGAGCGTGGGAATGCGGGGGGGGGTTCCCGGGGCCGGGGGGGGGTCCCGCCCCGGGCAGTTCCGTGTGCCCCCCTCCCCCCCGTGGGTCAATATTTCCCAAGGCCCGAGTCCCACGGGGGGGGAGGGGCGGGGGGGCACCCGGATGCGGGGGGGGGGGGGGGGGGGGGGGGGAAGGGGGGTCCCGGACATCCGAGTGCCCCGGGGGGAGAGGGTGGCTGCACAGCTGGGGGGTCCCCTCCCCAGTGTCCCCAGTCCCTCCCAGTACACCCCCCCGCCCCCCCCGTTTTCCCCAGTGTTCTCCTCAGTGTTCCCAGTTCACGCCATTAATTCCCCCCAGTCTCTTCCAGGCATCCCCAGTTGATCCCGGTCCCCTCCAGTGTGCCCCCACTGTCCCCAGTCCCTTCCTAGTGCATTCCAGTCCCCATCCCCCATCCGCCACAGCGTTCCCAAATCCCTCCCTGTTTGTCCCAGTGCCCCCCAGTGTCCCTCCCCAGCCTTCCCAGTGTCCCCCAATATGTCCCCGTACCACTCAAGTGCCTCCCAATGCATCCCAGCCCCCCTCAGTGTCCCCCCTCAGCCTCTCCCAGTCCATCCCAGTCCCCCCCAGTTGCGGTCTGGGCAAAGACGGAACTGCCCGGGGCCCTGGGAGGTGCCACCTGGGGGTGTCCTGTGTCATCCCCCCCCCCAGTGTCCCCAACCCTGTCCCCTCCCCGGGGATAAAGTGGCTCCAGTCACAGCAGTAGGACAGACTGGGACCATGAGAGTGCAGTGAGTGGGGACACTGGGGGGGACATGGGGGATGGGGGGGACATTGGGGGACATGGAGGGTCATGAGGGGACATGGGGACATGGGAGGTCATTGGGGTCATGGGGGGACACTGGGACATGGGGGACATGGGGACAGATGGGGGACATTGAGGACATGGGGGGCCACTGGGGACATGGGGGTACATGGGGACATGGCTGAGGAGGAACCCCCTGTTCCCCCAGGCCTGGACAGATGAAGGTCCCCCCTGTCCTCTTCCTCCTCCTCCTCGGCCTCACAGAGCAATGGGGACCCTTGGGGACATCAGGGACTCCCGTGGGACCCTTGGGTGAGTTTGGGGTCCCAGGCCTAGAGTGGGGAGGTACCAGGCCCATACTGTAAAGTCCTGGGGTGACACTGGGGGTCCAAGGCCCAAACTGGGAGGTCCCTGACCCAAATTGGGAGGTTCCAGTCCCACAGTATGAGGTCCCAGGCCCATCTTGGGAGGTCCCTGTCCCATTCTGGAAGGTCCCAGCTCCATCCGGGGAGGTTCTAAGGTGACAACTGGGGATCCCAGGCCCATAATGGGAGGTCCCAGGGTGACACTGGGAGGTTTGAGTCTCACAGCAGGAGGTCCCAGCTCCATCCTGGGGGTCCCAGGCCCTTCCTGGGGTGCCCCAGTTCATCCTGGGCAGTGTCAGGGGTCCCTGACTGTGGTGTGTCCCCAGGGGGGGTCCTGTACCCCTTCGGGCCGGGCGTGGGGGATGAGCCCACTCCCCATGAGGACGACGGGACGAGCCCCGAGATCTTTCTGTGGGAAAACTTCTCCTTCTTCGGGAGCGGCCACCACTCTTGCTACGTGGGTCACGTGACTGGAGGGACACGGGGGGGACATGGAGGGTGGCACTGGGGGGGTGACACCAGGAGGGGGGGATGGCAAGTGGGATGGGGGCCACCAGAGTTGGTGGCACCTCCTTTCTTGGCCACATGGGTGAGTGGAGACCCCTGGGGACATGGGGGACACCTGCAGGACCCCCAGGTGGTTTTGGGGTCCCAGGCCCATCCTGGGAGGTTCTGGGGTGACACTGGGGGTCCCAGGCCCATCCTGGGGGGTCCCAGTCCCATACTAGAAGATCCTAGCTCCGTATGGGGAGGTTCTGGGCTGACACTTGGGGTCCCAGGCCCATCCTGGGATGTTCTGGGGTTACAGGTTGGTTTGGGGTCACTGTGACTGGCAGTGTCATAACTGGGACCACTGGGGGGTCACTGGTGGGTGCCCCCCAGGTGTCTCACAGGTGCCCTTTGCCCCCAGGTGAACAACAATGGGGTGGTGTCGTTCGGGACGAGGGTCCCCGAGTTCACCCCCCAGCCCTTCCCGCTGCCTGGCCACCGCCCCTTCGTGGCCCCGTACTGGGCTGACGTGGACACGCGGCTGGGGGGAGACGTCTGGTACCGCCAGAGCCGTGACCCTGAGCTGCTGGAGCGCCTGGCACAGGACCTGGCACCCACTGTGCCCCCAGGGGACCCCCCACCGCGCCCCACCTGGGCCCTCGTGGCCACCTGGGACCGTGTGGCCTATTTTGGGGCCGCCTCGGACAAGGTGAGACACAGGGGACAAGGAGGGGAGGGGGCTCAAGTGGCTTGGCCTTCAAGCGAGGTGTCCCCAGCCACAGTGGCACCAACCATAGTGTCCCCAACTTTCTGGGGGACACAGGGCTGGGGACACAGCTGGGGGTGGCAGTGCCAGCATGACGCAGTGACAATGTCCCCCCCAGGTGAACACTTTCCAGGCCGTGCTGGCCTCCGATGGTGTCACCTGCTTTGTCCTGCTCAACTACGGGGACTTGCAGTGGACAACAGGCATTGCCAACATGGGGGACCCCCACACTGGACTGGGGGGCATCCCCGCACAGGTGGGGACACGGGGACACCCCCAGGGACCCCCACACTAGGCTAGGGGGGTTCTGGGATGGGGGGGTAAAGAGTTCTGGGGGGGAATTAAGGGGATTTGAGGTGAAATCAGGGATTTTAGGTGGAATTAAGGGAATTTTGGGTGGAATTAAGGGGATTTGGGGTGAATTGTGCATTTTAAGTGAAATTAGGGGGATTTTAGGTGCAATTAAGGGAATTTTGGGTGGAACGAGTGGATTGGGGTGAACTAAATCTCCTTTTGGGTAAAATTGCGGGAACTGGGGCAGAACCGCCCCCCCTCACCACCCACCCTGTCCTGTCCCCCCCTGTGTGTCCCCCGATATGCCCCCCAGGCCGGGTTTAACAGTGGGGACGACGTGCACTACTACAACGTGCCAGGGTCCCGCACGCCCACTGTGCAGACCCTCGGCCACCGCAGCAACCTGGGGGTCCCAGGGCGCTGGGCCTTCCGTGTCGACCACTTCGAGGCCACTGAGGGGCCCCTCGAGATGCCCTCAAGGACCCCCAGGACTCCCTCAGTGCCCCCCGAGTCCCGCAGGACCACGGCAGAGCGGGTGTATAACTGCGGGTTGTGAGCAGGTGACACCCGGGGCTCTGGGGAGGGGGCTGTGCCCGCACACCTGGGGCACCTGAGACCCCTCCCCTCAGCCCCCCCCGGAGGCCACGTGGTGATAGGAACACCAATAAACACCTGTTGAGCAACACCTGTGTGCAGGTGTGTGTGCACACCTGTGGGGGCGGGGACACGTGGGACACTTGTGCCTGTCCCCTCCTGGGCCTGTGAAGGGAACAGACCAGGGAGGAGAGGGGGGATGACAACACCTGGGTGGTACACGGGTGTGACAGACACACACCTGGACAAACATCTTGGTGTGACAGACACAAACCTGGATCCCACATGGGTGTGACAGACACACACGATCTGAGGGTGGTTTGGGGGGGTCCCTGAGCTGGTTTTAGAAGGGGCTGGCAGAGTCCTTTAGGATGGGGAGCTGGTTTTGGGGGGGCTTGAGGGGGTCTCTGGGCTGGTTTAGGGGTTTTCTGGGGGGTCCTTGGCAGGGATTCCCTGGGCTGGTTTAGAAGGGCTGGGGCTCCCTGGGATGGGGGGCTAGAGGGGTTCTTGGGCTTGTTTAGGGGGACTGGAGGGGTCCCTGGGCTGCTTTGGGGGGCTGGAAGGGTCTCTGGTTGGTTCAGGGGTGCTTGGGGGGTCCCTGGGCTGGTATTCCTGAAAAACAGGTGGCTTGACCCCCAACCATCCCAGTCACTCCCAGGGCAGCAGGATATGGTGGAGTTTGAGACCCCCCCAACCATTCCCATCACTCCCATGGCAATGGGATATGGTGGAATCAGAGACCCCTGGCACCAGGGGACCCCCCAACATCCCTAAAATTGGAGGGAAGCCCATCCTGGCACTGGGATGGGTGTTTCCATGGCAACTAGGATCCCTTTATTTCCATGAAACTCCCCCAAAAAAACAGAACTCACCATGCTGATTCCTCACTGTGAAGTGCTGGGATTCAGGATACAGGAGAGTGGGATTTAGGGGGGATTTGGCAGGAATTTCATCACCAGCCAAGTGATGCTGATTTATTAATTATTAATTAATTAATATCCAGTGTTAATCAGCAGAGTTCGGGGGGGGTTTCCAGTGACATCAGGTCTGTCCCAGCTACGGCTGGTGACAAGGTGGTAACAAAGGTTACTGGAAAACACTGGAATGAGGTGGAAAACCATCGGGATGAGGCAAAAAACCACTGGGATAACAGGAAAAACACCAAAATGAGGTCAAAACCTGTGGAGGAACATCAGAGTGAGTGGGAACGATTCCAAGCCTGGAGAGACTTATATGGAGCTTAGAGAAGACGATAAATTATGGACTTTTGTGTTACTTCCCAGTTCGTCCCATGTTTTATGTACCCTTACATATATACCTCTGTATTAATCCCCTTAGATTGTATTGCCCCAAACATGTCTGTACTTGTCCACAAGTTTTCCCATCAAAAGTTGTTTACCACCTTGTTCTCCCCTGCTTTCCCCCTCATCCCCCACTGACTGGCCGATAAGTGCCGCAGTGCGGAGTGAGCTCCCACTGGTCCCCGCTGCTTAACTCCTCCTAAGTTCCTCCCACTTTCCCTCATTCCCCAATCCTGCAATACCCTGAGATGTCCATCCCATGCTCTGCCCTGGTTATCAGACCTCCCCTCACTCGAACCCTATATAAGTCCTTGTTCCCCCTCAATAAAGTGGCCATTGCACCCTGACCTTCCATCTTGTCAGAACCCTCTGTGCAGTGTGGCGTCCCTATTCCTTTCTCCATCGGGCCGTGGCAAAAACCCACTTGGATGAGGTGGAAGAACACCAGGATGAGGTGGGAAAAGACCACAATGAGGTGGAAAACCACCAAAATGAGGTGGAGAAGCACCAGGATGAAGTGGAAAAACACTAGGAGAAGGAGAAAGACACTGGGATAAGGCGGAAAAAAACACTGTGATGGGGGAAAAGCAGGATAAAGCAGAAAAACACCAAAACGAGGTGGAAAAACACTAGGATGAGGTGGAAAGACAATGGGTTTAGAGGAAAAACACCGGGATGAGGCAGAAAACACCAGGATGAGGTAGAGAAACAGTGAGATGAGGCAGTAAACCACCAAAATTAGGTTGAAAAACACTGGGATAAGGTGAAAAACACTGAAATGAGGTGGAATACACACAAATTCTTTGAGGAAGGAGGCACTGAGGCCACAGCACTTCTCCAGGCTGAAGGCTCCAAGCTCTTCTCCAGCTACAAGCAGAAGTAATCCAGGGCTTCGTGTCCATAGGGGTTGGAAGTCCAGATGATGTCGGCTCTTCCGAAGCTCTCCAGCATCCGGCCCAGCTCTGCGCTCACTGCTCCCAAACATTCCCTGTCCAGCTGCTCCTCCAAAATCCAGCCAGGATCCAGCCCTGACTTGTAGCAGTCCACAGGGATAGGATACACGACCAGGCGGAGATCTGGCAGGACCACAGTTTTCCATAATAAATCCTTGAGCCCTGCTGTAGAGAAGGAATTCCCAAAGAGTCCGAGGGAGCGGAGGCGGGAGCAGTGCCGGAATGACACCAGCAGGGCATCCAGGTGTGAGTCCGTCAGCCGGCATTCCATGAGGTCCAGGTGGAGCAGGGAAGCCGAGGTTTCCTCCAGGAGATGCTGAAGGGGTTGGAGAAGAGTTTGGGAGAAATCATGGCCGCTCAGATCCAGCCTTTTCAGGGCCGGAGCATGGAAGCTTTGGGAGAGGAAGGCGAAGTCAGCAGGAAGGAGGGAGCAGAAGGCCAGTTCCAAGCTTTCCAATGGAGCCTCGAGTTTGCTGCCAGGATGAAAAAGGAGATGTGACCCTGTGGTGACATCATGGAGCTGGGAGGGATGTGCCAATAGATCAAACCCTCCACGAAACCTTGAAATGTTGGAATGGCTCCCAAATTCCTGGGGGAACTGCAGCAAACAAGACCCATGATTCCCTTCATGATCATGGAATCATGGAATTAGGAAATCACTGAGGTTGGAAAAGAGCTCCAAGACTATCAAATCCAACCTTTGAGAATCATGGGATTATGGGATTCCGGAGTCATGAGATCAGGGAGCCTTGGAATTGTGGAATCATAGAGTCATGGGATTATGGAGTTACAAGGTCACGGAATCGTGGGGTCATGGGATCATGGAATTGTGGGAGCCATGAGATCATGGATTCATTGCATCATGGAATCATGGGGTCATGGAATTATCGGATCATGGAGTTATGGAATTACTGGGTTATGGGATTACAGAGTTATGGAATCATGGAATCATGGGGTGATGGGATTATGGAGTCATGGAGCCAGCCAGGAGCACCTGGCGCTGGTGGAGCTCCGGGATGCAGGGCTTGCTGTCCTCTGGAAACAGGGAATCAGGGAATTCTGGGATCACGGAGTCAAGGAGGCATTAAGGTTGGAAAAGGCTTTCAAGATGGTCAAGTTCAACCTTTGAGAATCCTGGAGTCAAGGAATTATGGGATCGTGGTGTCATGAAATCATGGAATTAGAGGATAATGGAATCATGGGAGCATAGAGTCATGGAGTATTGGGATAACAAAATCACAGAATCATGGGGTCACTAAGGTTGGAAAAGATATCTAATACCACCAAGTCCAACCTTTGCAAATCCTCAGTGAGTGCAGGAAGAATGCAGTTGGGAATCTGCTCCAGCAGGAACTTACCAGAGAATGTGCCTCAAATTCCCGGAGAGCCTGGAGGATCCCAGGTTGAGCTCCCTGAGGCTCTGCAGCTTTCCCAGCTCCCTGGCCAGACACCGGATTCCCAGCACCGATTCCGGCGTCGGCCGCCGCACGTCGACATTGCTGTAGGGAAGTCGGAGGCTTCGGAGACCCAGGAATCGGGAGAGATGTGGCAAAACCAAGGAGAGACCCCCCAGTCCAAGGTTGTTGAAGCGAAGGTCCACCCTCCTTACGCCAGAGGGATCCAAGGATTTCAGCAGACTCACAATTCCAGCCAGGCAGAGCTCCTCGGCTTGGAACTCCCGGCACTTGAGGCGCAGTGGGCTGGTGTTCCCGGCCTGGAGTGCATCCCACAGGATTCCATAGGATGTTCCATTGACGAAGAGATCAGCGTGGATGTCAATGAATCGCGGAGCTGCCGTGGCGCCGGAACGGCCCTTATGGCTCCTGGATCTGCATTTCTGGAGTTCTCGCTGGTGTTTGGAGACCTCCACACAAGCCTTGGCCAGGGCCACGGTGCCAGACCAGACACTCATCCCTTCCGGAGCACGGCCAGTGGCATCATCCCGGAGTCCCGTCACATCCAGCACACGGAGACGGCACCGGCTGGGCCAGGAAATGGGAAAAACAGAAATAAACAAGCAGGGAAAAACCACAGAAGTGGGTTC